TAAACGTAAAGGAAGGAGAAAGAGAAGGTGCGAGAGGCGCCCTTGTCTATCCCCCAAGAAGAGGAGGGCTGTACGGTGTTGTACACAACACCTGCCCTACCGCCAAGTCCGGATCGAGTTCCCCTTCCCCCTACATGTTCCCTAAGCATCCCAACACACACATACACACATACATACACATACATACACATACATACACATACATACACATACATACACACACATACACACACATACACACAAATACACACACATACACACACATACACATACACACACATACACACATACACACACATATACACACATACACACACATACACACACATACACACGTGTACCTGTGGTAAATTATGTCAACTGCGGCCTTCGTGACGGTTTTTCCGTTTATTAGTCCCGCATCCCGACACAACTTAGAAAACTGGTGACTGAGCATGTCCTCATTCCGGCCCCCCACGGCACCTCGACCGATGCTGCAGTACCGCACAAACACATTGAACAACAACGCCCCTGCGGGAAGTCACCCCCTCGAGCCGGGGGCGGGACAGGCAGGGGGAGCTCACGAATGGGGGAGGGGGTCTACTGGGTATCGAACTGCGGGTGGATGGATGGATGGGTTCAGATGTGATAAGCAAACCAAGGCATTACACAGCTCTTTCCAGGAAAAGGGAAACCAGGCACAGCCCACGCATCCATCATTCGATCCAAGAAGCCAACCAACCAACCAACCAACCAACTAGCTACGAACCCCAACCTCCCCAGCCGACACCACTTAACGCCTCCCCTCCACACATACATACATACATACATACATACATACATACATACATACATACATACATACATACATACATACATACATACATACATACATACATACATACATACATACATACATACATACATACATACATACATAGACACACACCTGGGTTTACGCCGTTTCTCATGACGGGGAATCTAAAACACATTTTTGAGTAGTAGTACATGTAAAACTCATCTGGGGGGGAGGAAAGGGGGATATGGAGGGACGGGGGGGGGGACGGGGTGTATCCATGCGGGTGCGAAGTGGCTCCGCAGGTGCCGTTGAGGTGGGCAGTCAGGGAGGCAGAGGTGGGGGGAAAGACCACCCAGAGAAAGAACTAAACAGAAGATCTAAAACCCCGGACAGACTGACAGACCGACTGACTAACGGACGGACGGATGGACGGACGGACACCTCTTTCTCTCCCTGGCATTGCGGAAGCAGTGTGTGGTGCTGCCAGGGGATGGGTGATGAATGTGTTCATGGTGTTCTCTTTGCGTCACGAAAAGCGGTGAACACAACAAAAACGTGGGAGGGGTGCAGGGCAAAGGGATATCATAACATGTGGCTGCTGGATTGAGGCATGCATTAATATCGCTGTACGGATGCCGTACAATCCGTACCTATGCTGAGGATGCCGTTCCCCCCCAGATCCGCCCTCGTGAACTCCTCCGCCACCCAGGAGCGCCACTGAGGAACCACATGGCGGTTGGCGGTTGGTGGTTGGGTGAGTTGGGGGACAGCGGGGAAAACGGTTTGGGTTTGGGATCGTCCGGAGGGACACCACGCACAGGTAGGCAGCAAAATGGGAACACGCACACATACAGACATACAGACAAACATACACACACGCACACTAACTCCCGAAGTTCCTTAGATCAGGCGTCCATGGGATCCTTTCGCTTCCTCCTCTTGCGTCATCGTACGACAACCACCTTATGCCACCCTAGGCGGAACAAATGAGCATAGTAATACTTAGGGTTAAATTAGGGTGATAACAATTTAAGAGCTGAGCATCTTATCACATCTACCTCAAATTAATTGCTCTTCTGGAACATACTATGTCGTGCACCTCACAGCGTGTAAGCCTAACCAGGACTGTGTTGGCTGGTTATGCCAAAGTCAATTCGACGGGTTGAAGGAGATGAAGAACTAAAGGGGAACGTCATCCCCTTTACAATGATCAATATAACACAAAAGAAGAAAAAAGGCAAGATTTCTATTAAGAATATGCATATTCCAGAACTTCATGCGTCTCCACAGCCCCCCACACCCTCAACCCCGCACCCCCCCCTCCGCACTTACCTGGGCCCTGTGTTGCCGTACTTCCGCTGTCACCCGCTGCGCCTCATCCGGGTGGTGGACCAGCTGCCTGGTCTCCGCCTCCTCCGCGGCGATACGAGCATCCAGCTCCGCCACCTCGGCCGCCAACGCCGCCACCTCCGCCGCCATCTCCCGCTTCTGCTCCTCATTCGCCTGACGGTGCATCTCAGCCAGAGACAGTTTCTCCTCCCGGGCTGCCCGCTGAGATTCGCGGCGTTCACTTCGGGTCAAAGAACGGCATTCGTACGGATGTACGACAGTGTACGGAGAAGAGCTGTTGGTTGCGGGGATGAGTTATGCTAGGCGGGTCCAACGGCCCCGATGCTCGTTCTTAATAAGAAAACAACCGCGCTGAACAGACAGATCGAGGCTGCGATGGCACGCAGGAGGACGTAATTTCGGGGCATGCCTTTGTGTATGTATGTATGTATGTATGTATGTATGTATGTATGTATGTATGTATGTATGTATGTATGTATGTATGCATGCATGTATGTATGTATGTATGTATGTATGTATGTATGTATGTATGTATGTATGTATGTATGTATGTATGTATGTATGTATGTATGTGTTAGACGGGGGTAACACGTTAGTTAAAGAGCAAAGCGAATAGTACGGCTTGTATACGTCTGTCTTAGAAGCAACGCGCAAGTAATGTCGTAATGAGTTCCTGCGTGTGCGTGTATGTCGTACATGCGCATACCAAAATGGATGGGTACGCGAGTATGTGGATATGTATGTCCGTCGTCCCCACCGTTTTTCCCGCAGCCCAACCAGACGGTGTTCGGGATCGTCGTGGGGCGCGTAGTGCAGCGGCAGACCGTCCAGGTCCCGCATCATGCTGAAAAACTCCTCACGCGTGACGCGACCGTTAAGATCTGCGTCGTACAACCGAAACAACTCAAATGGCGTAGGAATATGGCACTCCACCTGCGAAATCCGGCTTTTGGCGGACTGTGACAAGGGAGAACGCCATTGCGTGCCGCCGCCGCCGCCGCCGCCACCGTCACTGCCAACTGTGGCAGCAGCGGCAAAGCTTGCCCTCGGTGTCGACGGCACACGGGGTGACGGCGACGCCTCCGGCGCCCCTAGCGTCGTCCCGCCGGCTCCGCTACGGCTGCCCGCTCCAAAACTACTGCCGGCGAAGCTGCCGTGGAGGGACTCCGGACCACCGCTGACGGCAGGGGAGCCGCCAGGCGACGACGACGACTTCCACTGCGCAGATGGTCGCCCGGCAGTAGCTGTGAAGGCGGCGGCAGCTGTAGTTGGCCCCAAGCCAGAGCCAGTAGTAGAAGGCGGTCCTCGAACGGGCAGGGAAGAGGAGGAAGCTTCTGTGTTGGGGCCCAGGATGTCGGCGAAGTCGTCGCTGGGGGTGGTGCCCAGCGGGCTGGGGGCCCTGCTGCGGCTACTGCCGGGGGTTGTGGGTCGAGCTGAGGGGGGCCGCGAGGGGGAGCCGCCGGATAACGCCGACGGGCTGTTCGGTGCCTTGGGGAGTGGGCGCAGAGCGCTGCTGCTGCGACTGAGGGTGTTCTCCGCGAGGCCGATGGAAGCGGCCTTGGAAGCTTGGCGTGAGGGCTGACGGGATCCCGACGCGAAGAACGAGTCATCGGTGCCCAGATCCGAGGGCGCCTTGCTAGGAGGCTTGCTAGGAGGCTTGCTAGGGGGTCCGCTGGGAGCTTTGTTTGAGGCGTGAGCGTGCGTGTCTGAGAGGATTGACTCGGAGCCGAGGATGCTGTCGTCGCCGACTACGTCGGCGAAGTCCCCGGAAAGTCCAGATTCATCGTCTGGCATTTGTCAGGTCGATGCGGTGTTCTGTGATCCGTTAGTTGCCTATCGCTTTGGGGGTAAGGTGTTGACGGTTCAGTTCTTTAAGGCGATATGGTCACTATGTCCAAAAAAAGTTAAACAATTCATACATTGTTTTCCGCAATACAGGTGATTACAAGTTTCCAATGCACTTGGAGATGTGCTGTTATAAACCTTCGATAGGCAGCAATGTGAAAGCTCGCGCGCAGCCGTTTATTTATTAATATATGGATATATAATACGTTTGGTAGGGCAATTGTTCTATTTGCGTTCCTATGAAAATACCAGATACAGAAAACGATGCTGCATAAAGGTTTCGCATCGTGTGGCGTCGACCTTAGCAGTTTTTCATGTTAAACCACACCTTTCATCGAAACATAAGAGATAGGTTAAACCGCCGATGCGTTACTAATCTAGTTACAATGCAATTTACGGGCCGTCCTGCAAACATGCACACCGAACATCAGTGTATTCACACACGGATTCTTCGGCAGGCAGGAGCCAGGGCTTGGGACTTGTGAAGTGCAGAGGTAAAAAAACGTTGTGCTAGAATGCCCGGCTAGAACAGAAGCTCCTCCCACATTTGCCCGCCTCGTTCAGAGGCGGTAGCCCGGCCTTTAAGGTAGCACGGTAGAGGTGCAACTTGGGCGGCTGCAACTAGTACGGCTGTGGCTGCTGCTGTGGCTGTGGCAGCGGCTACCACTAGTACGGCTGTGGCTGCTGCTGTGGCTGTGGCAGCGGCTGCAGGGCGTGGGCGATGTCTCTTTCCAAAGATTGCGTCGTGTCTCGTTCCTCCACCCCACACACTATCAGCTTACCGCCCACATATTGGGACGCTGAGGAACAGCGAACACCGCTGCTGGCGTGTAACGCATCGCCGTACAGTCGTACAGGTTGTTGCTGCTTATGCCGTTGTTGCAGCCCTCGCCGTCCTCATGTTCCAAATCTCATCACGTCATAGATATGCTGCTGGCCATGGCACGGCACGGCGACTTAGACCTACAGCACAAATCATCACCTAACTGCTAACTCCCAACCGCCGAATTAACACAATTAATACGAAGTTGTCGTACAAGTAAACATCGCCAACGTCACGTGGCTCGCTTCTCCCCTGATGCTACAGCTCCATCAACTAAATGCAGGTACGGCAGGTACGACGCTCCCTCCTGGAGCAAGCCGTTCTCTTTCCCTCAGCTTCTTCCCGCCTTCCCCCCCCGGCCCCCGCCAGCAAGCAACTCCATTCAGCCGTTGCCGCCAGTCCCTTCAAGCGCCTTTTCACCTCACCTCCCTTCTTCGTATCGAAAAATGCACAAAAAATCCTCAAAGCATAAACGGGGCCACCATCCATCCATCCATCCATACGTACATACGTACGTACATACAAAGGACCGCGTGGGCTGAAGGTGCAAACCGCGGTGTGCAACGCCGCCAGGGCAGCCCGTGGGAAATGGCGGGGAGATACCAACACACACACACACATACATACATATATAACACATACAGGAGGCGGCGGCGGCGGCTTCTTAATATCTCCGCCGCAATAAAATACGATACAATGTCAAGTGTGTGTGTATGTGTGTATGTCTGCTTCCGCTCGGGCCAAATTTTTCTTCGAGGGCGGCATTAACATGAAAGGCTGTGCCTGTCACAGTAGTCGTACTTGCCGTACCTGGGACACCATCAAATTTGTTCACGTGTATGATCCGGTTACGGCATTCTGAGGAGCGTTGTTGTTGTTGATGTTGTTGTTGTTGTTGATGTTGATGTTGATGTTGATGTTGATGTTGATGTTGATGTTGATGTTGATGTTGATGTTGATGTTGATGTTGATGTTGGAGTAGATGTTCTTGTTACCGTGGCAATCTACCCTCTCACCTCAGATCAACCAAATACATCCTGACCAAATCACAAAATCACCAGCACTAGCAGCGCCACGACCGGGAAATGATACAAACAATAAAACCGAAATGATACAAACAAACTGCTACAGCCGCCGATACCGCTGATGCTGTAGCTGCTATCCTTAATCCTTTGCGAACTGCGGGTACACCTTTCGGGGCGGGGTCGGTGGTGACGTCCAGGTCCCGGTGCGGGTGCAGGTGCGGGTGGTGACGTTGATGTGGATGTGGACGGTGGACGGCGGCATTTCCCCGGGGTTTGGGGGTTTGGGGGTTTGGGGGTTTGGGGGTTTGGGGGGAGGGGGGAGGGGGGAGGGGGAAGGGGAGTGTCAGCTGGGATCCCCGGGGTTGGTTTGGAGGGGCATCAGAGAACGAATGGCCTAACCGCCGTACCTGACGATCGTACGACATAGCCTTCGAAACGATACCTCTCCATACACCCCCCCCAGATCAGGTCTACAGCTCGGAGAGCCCGAAGGGTCCCCCTCCGGAGACCCGAGGGCTCCACCGGTGTCGGGGCTCAGGCGAGATGGATCCTGTGAAGTTCAAGATACTGTCGTACAGGACAGTGTCGTACAGAAAATTGTTCCTTTTTTTCCGCGGCCCCACCTGCTATTCGGGGTGATCCAGCCCCCAGCCCGGAAGAGAAGACAGCGCCCCATACATACATACATACATACATACATACATACATACATACATACATACATACATACATACATACATACATACATACATACATACATACATACATACATACATACATACATACATACATACATACATACATTCGTACGTCAGCATCGTTATCCGCACAGCTAAAAAGAAAAGAACCCGCATTGGCCGCCCAGCTCCAACCCCCCTCACTCAGGCAGCCGGCAACCCCTTATCCCCCCTTTTTACACACATACACACGCACACACATACGCACACACGCACCTGCTCCAAGGTGGTGTACACGACTCGAGCTCGCTCCGCAACCAGCTCCGGAGGCAATGAGCGACCCTGTTGAGCGGTTGGGGGCGGTTGGGGCGGTTGGGTGGGCCTCGGAGCGTATGGTTGGGGGCCGTGGTGTTAAAGGGGGAGGAGAAGTGAAGGGTAGTGAAGGGAAGCAGAACCCAATTCCCGGTCCAGACACGTACGCACACATACACATTCACAATACACGCATGTACCCCTTCCCCCCACGCATACCTCTCCTCCTTCTCCCTCCCCCCCAACCCCCCACATCCCCCCCCCCACACACATACACACACACACACCTGCACTGCCGACAGCTCCAGCTGCAATCTGTCAAGGGGAAACCAGGCCATGCGCCGTTCGAAGTAGCCGTTAACGATCATGGCCACGAAGCCCTTCCACTGCCCGAGAGTAGCCTCAGACACAGCGACACCTGAGTCGGGGGGGGGGCCCGGGGGGGTTCCCGCGGGGAGGGGGGGAAAAGACGAACCACACACGATTGAAGCTGCTGCCAGGGCAAGAGAGTATCAAACGTAGAACTGACCGAAAGGCGTCCGTGGAGATTGTGACCTCGGGGGGGGCCCCGGGGGGGGGTTCCCGCGGGGAGGGGGGGGAGTGATGCAAATATCCCCCGGGGGTAGCTGCCGGGGTCTAAAAGGCCGAGCCCCCGCGAAGAGTGTCAAAAGGGGGAAATTCAAAACTGGATCAGGCGAGGCGGTGATTGTGTGTGTGTGTGGGCGGGGAAAGGCGGGGGGGGGAGGGTTGCTAGGGTTTAGGATTGCGGAGGGGTGGCTCGGGGAGATGGCGAGGGACTGGCGGGTTCAGTTTCCGCTTTCAGTTTGAAGGAAGGTGTGTGTGTGTGGTGTTTTGATGTTGCGGAAAGTAGTCAGCAAAAGAGCTAAGAGAGCTACTTTGTTCAGCCAGGGAGGGTTTTGTTGTTAATGTCTCGACTCGCTTACTTGTGGCCCACCGCTTGACGGATCGCGGCGACAGCATCAGCGTAATCCAGACCAGGCAGACCATCGCCAGACATTCCGCGGCGTCGAAGTCCTGCCGTCGAAATCATCGAAAACGTCGAAGACATCGAAGTGACCCCGGGGTCCCATATATGAAACGGAGTTACAAATTGAGCAACGCACGATTTGGGAGGGGAGGGGAGGGAAGGGTCGCATGTGTTCAGGTATGCCAACACTGCATGGCATGCCACTGCTTCAATATTCGAGCATCAGGGGGTGGGGGTGGGGTGGGGAAAGACGAACCACACACGATTGAAGCTGCTGCCAGGGCAAGAGAGTAACAAACGTAGAACTGACCGAAAGGCGTCCGTGGCGACCGTGACCTCGGGATGACGAAGTGGAGAAGATGTCGGAAAAAACTACCTACCTAAGCCGCCAGAACTAAAAAAGCGGAATAGTATTGCCAATCCGTAAAGAAGTAGTAGTGAAGGCGGCGGAAGCGTAGTAAAATAGTGCTGTCGTAAAGGTGGTATAAAGTTGCTGGCCTGGAGAAATAGCTGATTTGCTGCTGCTGAAAGGCTGTCGGTATGCAAGTGCTCCTCCCAACCCCCCAAAAACTAAAACGCGCGACCGACCCGACCGACCCGACTATTCTATTCCGGCTAGCCGACCGACGCCAACGCGATATACCAAAGAAGCTCGAACCACCCTTTGGACTCACCTGGCCAGGCAGCAGGAGCAGCGGGCAAAGGCACATGCGAGGCAGAGAGGTGGGGGTGGGATGGGGAAAGACGGACCACGAACGAGTGAAGCTGCTGCCAGGGCAAGAGTGTACCAAGAGGCGAACTAGGTTGGGTTAGGTTGGGGGGTGGGAGTTAGGGAAGTGAGAGGTCCTGCTGCCTTTGAGGACGGTGAAGCGCGGGAGATCACGGATTGTACGACACACCGTACGGTACGGCACCTCATCGATCGTCCAACTGGTAACTAACTGTACGAACGCCTATTCCCTCGTACCTACCTTCAGCTGACGAAGGTCGTCTTCAGACAGTTGGCCGAGCTGCTCGACCATGTCCTGCTCGTTGTGGCCGCATTCGTACGCCAGTACGGCACTCTCCGTAAATTCCTGCGCGCCCATCACACCCCGAACCGACGACGTTGACTGCGTTGAAGCGTTAACCGCTGGCCCGCTTTGGGCTGACCATCAAAACAGGATTCCGGAGAGGTTTTGGGCACCCTGAGGCTACTTAGTTGGTTAGTTGGTTAATTGGTGACTTGGTTAGTTGGATAGTTAGTTTGCTTTCCAGTGCGGCTAGCGGATAGCGGACAACGGGCAGGAGGGGGCCCTATGTGTCGTGTGTGAAGTACCCATAAGGGGGGAGGTTCGACGCCCGCGGGAGGCCCCTCCACCTCCAGGGGGGGAAGGGAGAGGCTCCCGAGGGTTCCGGTCCAAAAACACGCACACACGCCGGGAAAGAGTGTGTGCTGACGGTCATATGGACCACCTTCAGGACCCCCTGGAAGACTACACGCCCTCCCTCCCGCCAAGTTGTTCGACTCCGCGAGTTTGAGGTGTCTTGTGACCCTTTCGTTAGGGGGCTTCGCAGGCAAATACACACGAACACAGCCACAGTGGTTGGCTAAACCCCGCCGTCCGTGGGCTACCTGGACCGCTTTGGAGTAGAGCTGGTTGGCCAGCGCTGGGTTCTGAACGTAGTAGTACCGTCGAGCTAGGTTCCGTACAACTTCCGCCGGCCCTTGATTGGCGCTTCCAGAGCTAGAGACAGGAGAGGAGCTCTGCATCATGGCAGAGAGTATTGGTAAATTTGGCAATGTATGAAGGTATGGCCGTGCAGGTTAAGTTGAAATCCAGCTAGGGTTTTCGGCGCCTACCGCCAACGTGGCGACGCTCCGCCTTCCATGTAATCCAGGAGAAAAGTATCGTTGTCCAAATGGCCAAGGGTCCTTGTCATGGGTTGTCTGGCATGTCGGTGGCCTAGGCAACAGAGTGTATTGTCTTGTGTGGGCCTGCTTTATTGTGAGCTTTAGGCCATGAGAGCAAGCCATCGCAAGATATCTACAAAACACTACACTTAAAACAAAATAGTTACTGCTACTTTGAGCTATGAAGCATGCATGGGTGGCATGTCGTTGCTTGTGACGTCCGGTACCGAACTCCGATTGATGTAACGATGCCACCATACCGTACCTGTCTTAGCATAGCCAATGAATACAGTATGCTTATACATACCTGTGTGCATACACAGAAAGACGTTTCCCGTGACTAACTCCTACCTTTACCGAAAATGTTGCAACCCAAATTGGTGCCGTCCCTTGCTATTTTATTATTCTCATTCCATTATGTAGCTGCGGTTAAGATTACAATCCCACCAGGACGCACTGAATGCTTGGGAGAGACGGTTGAAGCGGACCACTTCACGGTGAGCATGGAAAGGAGCAGAAGCGTGGATGTGTATTAGAATATATACTAGTGTATACGTCCGACTTTGCTAGGCTGCTAGCCTGGGCATTTTAGGCTTTGAGTCGGCGATCCTGATCTTTTGGGTTCGTAAAACACAACCGCTCACGCGGAAATCCTACACAACATGGCTAGGTACCTGGAGGACCTCGGATAGACGGACGCGTGCTGGTGAGCGGCAACAGTCAGTACTACGTACCCTTCGTCACAATTCGGGTATGTCTCTGGTTACGACTCAGGAAACGGCCCTATTAACTCCGGCAATCAGATCAGCCTAGAGAACCCGGGTTTGGTGCAGGACCACCCCGCGGAGCCTATGGTACACTAGGAAGGGGTTACTAGGAAGGGGGTTTGGGTCCTTTCCAAGCAGGGCGCAAAAGTACATGCCCAAGCAAGTTATCATATGTTACCAGCTTGTCCCAGGACATTGGCAGTGCCTGTGGTCAACGAGCCCCTCTGTGTTGCCGGCTTCAAAGCCATGGAATCACGCGTGAAATCCCATAACGGGGACGGGGTTCTCCACAATCCACCACGTCGCACCATGGGCCCGACTCTGGTATCCGAGGACATGGGCCATCCATTGTGACATTACTTTCCCTGTGAGCACGAACGAACGATTCTGATCTCCTTGTGCTACATATCCGTGATACATGGATCAGCTTCGTCGCCGCCCTCCTCTCCTCCCTTTTTCGTTCTCCTTGGACTCCTCCTGATGACGCGCTTGACACCTTCCCAATCATCCCCTGCCCCCGGTGCTGCTGCCGCATGTACGGCTAACCCAGGTGCTCAGTCCGACCGGAGACCAATTGTGGCAGCAGCAGCACGTGTACTCCGAAACCCACTTCAATGTGGGAGCCAGGGGGCCAGGGTCGTACAAAGTCTGGTAAGTAATCAGTTAGTTCCGTTGGACGTTGAGAAAAGAGAGGGGAAGTGGAAAGCAAGCGGTCTTTCTGGCCGACCTAGAGCTCTTCGGAGGGCTGCAAAAGGGGAGTGGCGTAACTGTGTAGTGAAGAGCAGGAGGGTCACGGTCGGTCGTGCGCGGCTGTATGCATGTCAGCTGATCCCCTAGAGCGCATCCAGCATGCTGTGGGGGGAAGTTGCAGAAAGGGATTGCTGCAATTCAGCGAACCGTCAACCGCGGGCAATCTGCTTCAGGTTATCTGGCTCCTCCTGTCTATGGACTGATAGATTGGTCTATCCCGCATTCCTTTTATGGACTGAAGTTCGGTGGCCTCCCTGTTCCGTGACGCTGTTGCGTTGACTTCCACCCCCCCCCAAGCTGGCAGATGGGTTCCTCTGCGTTTCGCAGTGATCTCCCCCCCCCCTGGTGCACCCGCATACCCCTACTCACACCCCTATACAACCACCCGCCCTGTTTTCCTAACCCACACCGCACACCTCCACACAACCCATTTCCCTCAAAATGCTTTTGCCCACATCTCAGCTTCAAAGCACTCCGTAGAGCCCCCTTGACGGCCCCTTTCACTTCCCTGCATGTGACACAGCTTCTACAACCCGTGGGAATCCCGCACTGAGGCCGTAGTGGACCTGGTCTACTTCACATTGGCTCACTTGCGGAGGGGCTCCGGACCCATCAACATACCCAAGGGGACCCAGGACGATAGGTGGGTGGGGACGGGGGGGGGCCCTGCTGTGAGGGGAGGTGTGATTGGGTTGCGAGGTTAGGAAACTGGGTCTGGCATTGAGAGGGGCGAGTGTGTATCAGCGGGATGCATTCGGGGCCGCTCGAAACGGGCGCTGGTGACATGGGTTTGTACTCCCCCCCTCCCCCCATGATTTTCCCCTGTCTCCGTCGCGGCGCGCCTCATCCTCGGGCTCCTCCCCACTCTCTCCATGCGAAATAACCCGCAGGAGCAAGGAGGTGGCGAGCCAAGACCACATGGAGGATGTACGGCGTACGATCTACGGCATGTCGGAGTTTATGCAGGTCATCCAGGGCAGCCAAAAGTTCCTGCAGCGCAAGCTGGAGCGCCACCAGCAGACCATGGTGAGAAGCAAAGAAGGGTTTTTGTAGCTTCCCTCGTGGAAAATGGAAAGAGAGGTTGGGGAGAATGCGGGACAGGAGGCGATGAAGTTGCCCGTAAGCTCCTTTTCGGGTCGGTTGGAAAAGGGGGTTGGTTGCAGGGTGATGGGCAACAGGGAGCCAAACTTGTAGCTGGGCCGCGGTATTGAGCGCATCTGATGGGGCATAGTCCAGGTTCTTAGCAACGGAAGGGCTGAAGGGGGGACTGAAAGGAAGTACAAAGGGAGGGACGGATAGTTGCATTGAGGGCAGAAATGTGAAGGGAGAGGGAGGGCAGCGTAAACACGGGTGTTTGCTTTCAGGACCTGGCCAGGACGAGGGGGTGAGGGGAGAGAGGCGCGGGCCTGGCGGCACGACGAAAAGTTGCGTGTTGGGTTAGGGTGCGCCAAGCTTTCCTACGTTGCTTCGATGTAAAGCGGCTGGGTCCAGGGCCTAGGCATCCGCGGAACTGGCTAGCGGCTGGCACCATCCGCCATGGCTAGTGGAGAGATGCGGAGAGGACTTTATGGGGCATGATTGGAAGCGGCCGCGGCCATGGCCCGGGGTTTCGGCGGGAGGGGTTATGCCGCTGGGGTGGTATGTATTTTGGTTGCCGCACTCGCCAAACACTCTCGAACCCTATGCCATGCTTTGCATGGCGTGGCATGTGCTTGCTGCAGGAGAGTAACCGACGGCGCACGCTGCTCTTCACGGGGCTGGAGGTGAGGGGATTTTGCTTATTTGCTTTCCTTGGCCCCCAATCCCATATCGGGTTCATCACGCCACTGAACCAATTGAAGTACAATGGCCCGTCTTGTAAGATATTATCATTTTTATTGTCCGCCTCACGCGCCACTAGCTAGCTAGCACAGGGCCGCTTTGCCTGTTACGCTTATACGTGCTGACGATTCAGTTTTGCCGAGAGCCGGCTCACAAACAGCTATAAGTTTTGTGTTGCCGCTGTTCCCACGCATCGGAAAGCATTTCTGATCTATGTGTCCCGGATCCCCTTTTGCAGATGGGCGCAGTCATCTTCGTGGGCCTGGTTCAGGTGCTGGCCGTCATGGGCTTTTTCAAGCCGGGCAAGAACCTCAAAACGTTTGTGTGAATGTGGTAGCAATTGAGCAAATTTTATGGAGTCGTCGGGGGACTCACATGGGGAACATGCCACCCCCATGGTTTGCCCATCCCGAAGTAACGGTGTCCGCTTTGTTCGGCAGGTTGCGACGCAGCAGGGATGTTCAGCATGGCAACGGAGGCTGCTACTGTTACTGCAGTAGAATAAAGGAGGGAAGGGAGGGGTAACTTCTGGGGTCGAGAGGCCTGGTTAAGACCGCTCTCAGAAGTACATTTTCAGAGATGACGTTATGGTAATGTCTCTGGCATATGTGGATGACTGCTGGGCGGTATGCGTGTAACATTTAACTTCAAAAACATTCTCGGCAAAGGCATGTAGATGTATTCGCGTAAATGACACAATATCGCGCAGCAACAGTCGCGTTATGAGGTAAGAAATATCAATTTAGCAATAAGGACAAAAAGGAAAAACTGTTTGTCAATAACCCGCTCTCCACTCGCTCATCTCTCAGGCGCCGGTGAAGACGCGGCAAGGTCCTAATGCTACACTGCTGTCTATGGACAGCAAGCAGCTGGTACTGCGTCATGTCCATGAATGGACAAAACTGAGCTGGAGCCTCCCCTCCCACCACGCAGCTCCCCTTTATCACAAAACATCACAGACAGTTGGCACGCAATGTCACGGAATGACGTACCCAAAAATGCAGCATGCCGCCTATATGTGGCAGTAACTAACTATGAACAGTGCCTCCTCTCTAATCGCCGTCAAAATCAACGGGTGAAATGGGCGTTATAGCCTATGATTCTTCGGACCCCCACTGCAGTTACCTACTCGCCTAGGTGGGCCTGCCTTTCCGCACGACGCCCGGTATCTAGCCATCGGAAGCTATACACAGCTATGGGCACACCAATTGTATAAATCTAGCCTAATTGTATGATGCGCACATCGAAGGCCCGAACGAAATCCGCAGACATAATCTCGTAGGCCACCTTAATCCAGCAACCCAACGCAACCCGGTCTCCCTGGAGTTCCGAAAAACAATCAGTCCATCCTTGGAGCCCATTTTGCACAACTAGCTACCCACATATCGCGCACATGGCGCTCATACCGGCATCGCCAACGCGGCCGCCGGCTGCGCGGCTAAGGCCCCACTGCGGTCCAACTCTCCCCCGGCGGCTTCCTTAGAAGACCTTCTCTCAATACCTAGCTTCACCACGTCTCCGCCGGCCAAGCTGCCAGAACTGACTTCAACCCGCACGTCGGCGCAGGCTTCCGCATCCTCCACCTGCTGCTGCGCTGCTTGCTGCTGCTGCTGCCATGGCCCCACCGATTTGTACGGTTCCAGCCGCATCTTGCCGCCGAAAATGTCAGGCAGGCGCTCGATGGGCACCATCTGAGTCAGAGTGGGCAGGTAGTCGGAGCCCAGGATGACGATCTTCTTGCGGGTGCGCTCCTGCAGCAGCGGTTGCACTGCCGCCCAGATGCCCCGGAAGATGAGCGGCGTGTTGATAACAAACATAGTACCCAGGTGCTCGGGGTAGTAGTCCTGAAGGAGGGAAATAAAGGGTAATTAGAATGACGTGCACTGGCGAGAACCCGGGACTGAGTCTGCTAGCAGAGCTGCACGGAAAGCGGTACAGGTAAGCAGCGGCTCACAAAACCCTGGCGGCTGCTTCAGGTCGAGGCAATTTCCGATTCTTAACAGACACGCATCACATAAACAATAGGTTTAGGCGGGGAGCCCGCACACAGCACTGCTTCCGTGTTCCTTTTCAGGTGTAGGCTCTCCGCTGCAGCTGCGGCCTCCTTCGTGTTAGCGAGCCTCTGCACGCCCTCGATATCGCCCATGGAACCCGGTCCAATTCGAACCTGGTCAATTTTGGAGAACGTGGTGAGCAGCTTCTGGGTCGAGCTGTTGAAATTCATCAAGGAGAGGCCCGCCAGGTCGATGATGACGGTTGTGGTGCAGATATGGCGCCCTGCAGCCGCGGAGCAGGCGGGCAGGTAGCAGCGCAGATAGCGCTCCCAGGTCCAGACGTGATAGCGGATCAGGTCGTCCATGCTGATGGTAGCGAACAGGGCCGCCGCGTCGGTGCGACCAAGTAGCTCGATGTACACGGGCCGTCCAAACTTGTCTGGAAGGCAAAGAATTAGGCAAAGAATCGATGCTGCTAGGTCAAGTGCAAAACGCATAGTGCTTCTTACATCATTGCTCAATGATTTGACGAGCGTGCTATCACTGAGGGAGGTCCGTAACAGGGCACAGGCAATGCAGCTGATCGACGGTACACTTGCGGATGCAGTGTCTGAGCGCAGTCATCCCATCGCGGTTGAGATTTGCACATGGAGGCCGTAAGTGTTCAACTGTCACGCTACCAGGCGCCCTCTTGTACTGCGAGAAGAATTGAACCGAGTGCGATAACCATCTCAACACCCGGCCGCCGACACGCAAAGGCTGTGGCAGCACCTGCTTTCGCGTACGTACGCTAGTAACAACACCACGCTTGATTGCACATCACAGGAATGCCACCTGCTCACCGGTGTTGAAGTAAAAGTGCGGGTAGACCTGCACAGGTGGATTGGGGCGGACACAAAGGGTGCACCGTGAGATCGTGCTTGCCTTAAAGGGGGTTCGACCTCCAGCGTGCAGAAGCAGAGTGCCCACGCGGCAGGGCAATGTCGCTTACGGCCGATCAGGCATCGCGCATAGCACAAGCAGTATCGTAACGGAGGATCTTTCATAGGCCATACTGCATAGCCTATCGACTATGTCCGTTGATGGCACCGTGTTGCGTACCTGCAATAATTGCTCCTTCTGCGGGTAAGCAAGCCCCGTAGGATCTGACTCGTAGAGCCCGTTGACGCGATTCTCAATGCGCCATGCACGCATGTCACGGTACATGGATAGTGCCTGTGCCGCGGGGTGAAACCCATACAATACACTCTATTGGATTTTTATTATCTGTCCGAAGGTAAGTTGCATGGCACATCCCCACGGACATGACAGCAAATTGTGGATGTCACAAAAGCGGTGAAGCGCTTTGAGCATGCCTCGACACGGGACCCCAGTCCTCCATCACATGACCTTATACCCCACCTTGTCGATGCTGAAGTCCCGGGCCATGAGGAATCGTAGCAGCGTATAGTCATCATCATGTCCTTCCACAGTTAAATTTTCTCGTCTTATGCGCAACCGCAACTCATCCATAGCTGCTCGTTGCTGGGGACTAGGATTTAAGTACCAGAACGCATCTGATTCTGTATATGCCTCTGTAGTAACAGAGGAACTGCTCCAAAGACTTCCCCACATCGCTTGCTTCTTCAAAGCTGAGACTTGCAGGTTACCAAATATCAATGCAATCGATGGCGTCGCCTACTATGCACAATGCTACAAATATAAAGGAGATCCGCAGGCACCTTTAATTGGAAATCTGGGTTGACGTCACGGTTCCTTTTCCCTTGTTACCGGCGAAACGCTGTTTGCTCCAGCGGCTGTCGTCAGCGGACGAACACATACAATTTCTAAAAGCGAAGTACTTGCTGAAGCTTAAAATTTATGCGTTGTTAAGGGGGATTTTAATTAATTGCAGTACAGTTGTCCCGCACTCATGTCACATCGCGCACACAGCACATGCGCGGTGTCTTCATGACATTAATACACAACATTTATGGACTCATATCTCACGAGGCAGGCCTTCATTACTTGTGCTTGACAGAAAGTCCTTTATCCTACTTGCAACGCGAATTCTTGCTTTGAATTAGCTGCGGCCCCAGGGGTCCAGGACGCCTGGTGCGTGCACAAACCGGCTGCAACAGTTCTGTATATTATCTTCTACAACCGCTGCCTGGCCAAGTCGCTCAACAGGCTATAGGTAAATGTCTGGCGTGGCGCGCAGCCGTCTTCAGGAGGAGCGAAAAGCATGGCGAAAAGATAAGCCATTTGGCTTCCATGCACGGCCTGAGACGGCAGAGGATGGGTACGTAGTTGCTCGACATCTACTGAAACAGAGCAGCTTGCAGTTTGCGATTGTGTGACAAGGTTGATGGAACGGTTACAGGAGTATCAACCTGATGAAGTGGAAATGTCACATTCCGGGTAAACAAGGCACTGATTGGGAGGGCGGATTCTTCCCTTTGACAATGGAGTTTTCGGAAGACTACCCAACAAAGCCACCTAAGGTATCAGTTGACCATCTTATCCATGTCGGCAGGTGTAGAGCTGACACATGCCATGTCAACTGTGTCCTCTGTGCTGTCCTCCTCCCCTGCTGCACACTTGCAGTGCAAGTTCCCAGCGGGTTTCTTTCATCCGAACATCTACCCCTCGGGAACCGTCTGCCTCAGTATCCTTAACGAGGTGAGAGAACCTTGTGTCGCGGTTATACTTTGTCCTTACCAGCTGTCCCGCAATTATCCGCAACCGACGGTCTGTTCTTGCTCCGCAGGACGAGGGGTGGCGCCCGTCCATCACCGTCAAGCAGCTTTTGCTGGGCATTCAGGTGAGCATCGTCTGCTTGGCAGCCTATACTATGGTTTTGGTTGTCGGGTTCCAGTTTTCATTGTGTGTTTGATGCCTACCGGCGTTAATGTACGACGACGTTTGCGCCCTGACAGGAGCTACTGGACACTCCAAACCCAAACAGCCCGGCACAGTCAGATGCGTTCCTGCTCTATACCCAGCAGAAGGCCGAGTACTGCAAGAAGGTCAAGAGGCAGGCACTGCAGTACCCTCCCCCAAGCTAGATGCAGGATGTGATCAGTTAGAAGTGTTGTGTTTGTGACCGAGATGAATTTGGCATGTTACCGAGTGTGATTTAGTGTCCTTGGGGCTTGGGAACGTGAGCGGGGTTCAGTGTGTATGCCGAGACTTAAGTGCAAATGGGCCAGGCGCTTCAACCGCATTTTATGCCTAAGCGCAGATTCTATTTCGCTGCTCTTTTTTGTGCAGTGGCGTCTGCCGCTTTGCAATTGCTGGCTTCCGGTCAGAATGCATCATGCTCGGGGATTTTGGATGTCTGCAAGTGAGTCAGAGACACGATGTGCAAGACGCAATCCATTTTCTCGTTAGCAACTCTTGGCGAATGTCTGACAACGCAAGTGTATTTTGGTCAGGCACTTGTACGGCAGTCGCCTTCAATCTTCATGTGACCCTTCGCTGTGTCAAGCTTCGATGGGCCATGACCGTGAACGCCGGCGATCTCACGCTATCGAGCGTGGTAACACCAACCCACGATGGCACCAGAAGCACGGCAACGTTTTCGCCACCTTTAACGATAGCCTACAGAGGAAGTGGCTTACTCTAGTGCCTTGCCCGAGTATCACATGCCTCGTACTTACAAATAGCTCTTATCCGCCTGCCCGTAATCTGCCTTTTAACGGCTGGTGTTGCACTCCAACCCTTGACAGATAAATAAGACGACAAGCTCTAAAGACTGAATATGCTGCTACGAAACGTTATGTTGCCACTGGCGCTCTGCCTTCGCAACTGAATGTTCAATTCTTTCACCGACGTATGACGCGTAGGCAGTATCCGTTTTCCTAGCAGCCTCATACCATGCATCTGCACGCGCCTTGTGTAATCCATTGGCTGGAACAGAGGAGCTGGAGAAAAAATGCACGTCGCCCCGTTGATGGTGCCCCTTTAGTGTATTTCGATGGAACCGATGCAGGTCACTGCGCTGAACCCTGTGGACCGGCCACGGAAATCGTGAGAGCCTCCCGCGCCACGGCAACCCGTAGGGTGGGTTACGGCTCTTGACCCGGAAATTGTCGAGACAGCCACCTCACTCCCATACAAATGAAACTCGTGTACAAGTAAAAACCATGGGACATGCCCCAATTACGCTCTACCCAACGCCCATAAAACTCAAGAGAGCCCGCACTGTGAAGTTAGGAAATTGTCGTGCGGACAACCAATTATAGCAGTTTAGTACTTAAGAATGTCAGCGTTCTGTTAAGAAGATTGTACACAAGAAATGAAGAAGCTCCCTAATGCATCAGCCCCGGCCCCAAACGACCCCCGTGCCAGGCAGGCTGAACGCTAATGGGAACACACCACCAAGCGCAGCTGCGTGAAATTCTAGTGCGTGCTGCTTGCCTCGCCCCCTTAGGGTTCCCTAGGCATGAAGCAGACCAGGGGTGCAACCACCAACGCGGCATCCATTAATCCTCAGCCCTATCTGTTCCCCGTTTGAGCAAGTGTGAAAGGGGCACACTTGCTCCTGAAGGCAATCACCTCAGTACATAGATAGCCGAAACGAATGCCGCCTTTTGGTTTTTTTTCACATTCCACACCGGGGAACAACCTGCCTGTTAATCGCACATTGTGTCCACCCTTGGGAATGAGGCTTGTGCTTGCCACAAAGCAAATCGTCCCTCGCACCGCACCCTAGGCAACAATGTACGAAATTACACTTTACGCCATCGCCCTCCAGAACGAGCACGAGTTCCCATGGACGCGCGCGCCTCTCCAGAGTGCTTTGCCCGTCGGCACTACTCTGTGTAATTAATTATCAACCTATTTATCTTATACTCGAACGTCAAGTCATCAACATATTGTAATCAAGAAAGTGGTGCGGCCAAGTGGCATGCCATGGCCTGCTCTCGAAGCAAGCGGACACAGTCCGTCCCCTCCTCCTGGTAGAACATCAACCGAGGTCCGACTGTCAAGTCATTACTTCGAATCAAGATAACCGCACAGCAATAAAAATTGAATGTCGCACTTCTACCACGGCTAAGGAGAGCCCTTCGTCATGGCAAGTTAGCTCGGCTTCTAAGGTTTTTGCCGCTCATCACGATAAAGAACACAGGCGCGCGTGCACGCGCCCACAGCCGTAAGCGCAGCCTTATCGTTTATGCAGCCCCTCAACATGCCACAAGCTCCATATGTTTCATCCCATAACACTGTAATACGGTACAGAAACTTGATGGCCCGCCCACTGTAATAACAACAACTGTAAAACCCGAAATTAAAATGCACGAGTCAGCTCTACTTGAGAGCTAGCCTTTTCAATAGAAAAAGCGCGAGGGTCAGCCCTGCCGACAAGCCGACATAACTGTGCTGCATTATTGCACTCCTGCCCATCGTGCCATGTCGATGAAGTTCTCGCCACCAATAACATTGTTGACGAAGCGAATAGCTACGGTGGTGCCGTATGCCACCTGAGGCACGCTGCGTGCGATGGTCATATCCACCAACCGCTCCAAACCGAACACGATCTGAAGCCGGGAGGAGCGGGGAACGGGGTTACGCAGATAGGCATGACCACATGAAGGAATACACAAATGGTGGCACATTGTGTAGCAAAGCCAAAGGGAAGACCTGGATGGCAATTCCGTTGCTTAAGAGCCCGGAAAGCATGTTTGTATAACACACGAGTTAATAAAACGACAAAGCCCTTGCGGCAAGTAAACCAGCAGCTCGGAGCCTCCACATCCCTAGCCATCTATCCTGGTGTTACGAGCGGAATAGATGCAATGGCTTTGATTATCGCATCCCCTCTTATATTGTGATCTCAGGAACCAAGCTTTATCTCAGACAAGTGTCATTTTTTTAATTTTTTAAAAGCAATTCTCATCAAGGAAAACCGACTGGCCACTCTCTCCCACCCCACTGGACGCTCTAGTGTCCGTTTGGCCTCCGGATTGTTAATTTCGGACCTCGTCCGGGTGGGATCGCCCTTTCGCTTTTCCCTTCACAGAATCATGCCCCCAACTGGCACAGTGCTTATTTCAACCCACCTGGTAACGTGTGTTGGACGACACGCCCATGAACAGTCCCCACACCAGCGCGGTCTTAAATAGCGGCGGCACCGCCACATCATCCTTCTTGCTGCCGTGCACATGGCGCCTGGAGGGATTAAGGAAAGGGACGAAGATGAAATAATAGGAGTAGGTGATTCGGACGAAAGTCATGGAAGGTAGCGGTGTCCAGCTTAAGGCACATATCATCGTGACACCAATGCCGGGACCCTTCCCGTCTTTCTCTTTCGTTCCAGCTTGCAGCAGATTCCCTTCACTTCCCCTTCCCTTCACAGCGCTTCCGTTCCTTTTCCAAATACGGAAACGCCCAATCAGCAATCCGGGTGAGCAGCGCTGCGTTTTCATTAAAACCCACCTGAGCATCATCAGGGAATTGGCCACAGCCTGCCCGATAAGGCCGCAGCATATACCGGCCAAGCTGTACTCCAAAAACTTCACACCCATACAGGCAACGCGTTGAGCCAGACTGTAGGTCTTGACCCCAGGCACGGAGGCCTCAAACACAGCAGAGGGGATGGTGGCCAGCCACTTCTTAAAAGGTGCTGTATAAAGCAAGAGAGGCGACAACAATGGGGCGGCGGTCAAGGTGGTGGGTCAGGATGGAGGCATATCAACCGTCAGACACAGGCATACGACCGGTCGGAAGTAAATGGTGTCAAGACTACGTGGTGCGCTGTATGCTGCATGTTATGCAGCGTGCCGTGCGAGCTTTGAGCCGCTTGGTTTCGGAGGGAACTTTGGACAAACTCGAGGGCAAGCACCCCAAGGCCGGTTTGGAGGCATGCGTCGGCCTTGGTACCATGGTCACCTACTTCGGACATCTGTGGTTTTGAACCCCAAACGACCACGTCAGCGAACGGGCAAGGGCCATCCAGCCGCCAACGTTTCCGACTCTAAACGCAGCCGAGTCGAGCTACGCAGAGAGCCACCAATGGTGCAGGGGAAGGCAGCGTATACGAAGGTGACCTAACCAACCCATGGGAGTGGGCGCCCGAATACGTGAATGGGAGCTGAACAATGTAGTGCTGTGACGGCCTTTCCGTCCGGCCCCGAATAGACCTCATGCCCCATTCCAGTCTTATCGTGGAACCCACCAGCCAGGGGGCCCAGATATGCATGGAAGTTTCAAGCCGGGGCCGTGGGGAATGAGTGGGCCAAGATGGCACCCGGTTCTGGTTTGCTTCTTAACACCTAAGTCCCCCCTTGCCCTGCTCCTGCTTACAAGACGTCATGGCCGCACGGCTGACTCCTCCAAGTACCGCCGCAGGTGCCATCAACGACACCAGGACGACATCCAGCACAAGGCCCACCTGCCAGGGGAACATGAGGACCCGCCGGGGTCGCGGCGCAAGCAAAAACACACTGAAAACACTGAAATACCCAGACTTCGAGCCGGGTCTATGGCCCGGGATGCATAAAAACGGTGCAACTATGACATGCATTCGTTCCCCCCTGTTGCGCTTTTCCCCACATAACCCCCACCGTCCGTCCGTCGGTGCGGTGAACAAACCCTTCAGTACCGCCACGCGCCCCTTCCAGCCCGGCCCAGTCAGACAGCTCCACACACCAGCAAGTCAGACAGGTAGAACTCGAACTCCGACCAGAACTGGTTGCCGCGCTTGCGGACCTCGGCCACAGTGGCACAGCCTACAGCGGGGGAGGAGGCACACACACACACACACACACACACACACACACAGAGGACCCGCAAGGGCGGGGTGTAAAGAGGAAACATCGGACCAGACAATTAGAGTAGAGCCATAGCCAACCAGCTTAACACTCCGGCCGACAGATGGTAATTACAACAGTGACGCGCGCGTGTGCACACACCTGAGTCGATGACCACCTCCGCTCCAACCTTAAAGAGGAACAGTGGGTCCGCGAGAATGCGGTCGCGGAAGTATGGCATTGTTCGGCAGACGAGGCCGCTCAGGAGGAAGCCCTGCAGGGTTAAGGGCGGCCCGGAAAGGTGGCCCCCAAGGGAATCGGGGGGTGATGTCACCGTTTGACTTCCGGATGGAATCAAGCTGGCTGCAGGCTGCGACGGAAATTTCATCCAATCCAATACCGCCATCCCAGAGCTGCCAGCGCGTGGGGGCTTACATACCCTGTGTCCCCTCAGGCCAAGAGGTTGCTATGTTGCTGGCGGCGCCAGTGGAGCGGCCGTCGTAAGAGGATGTAGACGGACTGACATAGTCGAGGACGTTGCGTATAAGGGGTTTTAAAAAGAGCCAGCAGAGCCAGAGGTATATCGGGGACATGAGCTACATCCGGCGGCAATTGCGCCGCTTCCTCTTTGCCACACTGCTCACAATGTCTTCCTTCACCGTTCAGCTGGATGATGACGCGCATGGGGATGTTGTCTGCCCGGTTCCCAACCACCCAGGCCAGACGGAGAGAGCGTAAGATGAAGCTAATTTGTGTTATTATCGTAAGAGCCATCTGGATCATTCTTCTTTCTGGTGGGGACCACTTTGTGTAGTCTGTCAATGATGTCGAGTACTGATGGATGGATTAAGCTTTCCCCCGCTTTCTCCTCCTTCCAGAGCAACTGCTACGCCAATTTTCCATGACGTGCGAGCACACAATTCGCACAGGGCATCGCACTCTTGTGGTGCGGTATCAAGACAATTTGCACTCGCACGTACTTGTGCCGCCACGAAGGCTTTGAGAACCGACGAGCGCAGGCCGTACTTCTTGGCCACCTCCAGCATGTCAGCGGGCAGGCTAACTTTCTTCTCAGCTGCAAAGGCCTCCACCTACGAGAAAGAGAAATGAGACGCCGAGGAGCTGGAATTGATGCAGTTGACGAGGTACATGTGCGGGTGGGCAAGTACTGCAGGTACCAAATCAGCTAGCCGCGTCCCGACACCGCTACTGCAACGCCGCGGTATCCATCCTCAACCTTGGCGCCTGGCAGGAAGGATAACCTGAATGTCTATGTCCTCGAGCTGGACGGCCTGACTGCATAACTCGCCTCGCTGAGGGTGAGAACGCGGTCGTCATCCTCGCCATCGCCCTTGCCGCTGTCGCCATCACCACCACCGCCACCGCCGCCGCCACCACCGCCATTGTTGCCACCAGTAGATGCTCCATCACCGCCCCCAGCAACAGCCTCCGGCCGCAAGTCGCGGTCGTTGCTTGAGCTAACGAACGATGTCGGCAACGCCGCATCATTTTGGATCAGTGGAGACAGAACGCTCGCTGTCCCTGCAGATAAAGACTGCTCCTCGCTGGATCGTGCATTGCTGCCGGACGACAACGCACACACAACCGGGACCTGCACGCGGCAACCATCAGCGAAAGCACGTTTCCCTGTAACACCCGGCCTAGGACGTGATTGTATAGTATGCATACAATGTACATCACTTACGTGGCGGTTAGCGACTTGAATCCGCGTTGGCAAACTCACAAGACCAGTGGGCTTGCGAGCGCCGACCACCCGAGAAAGAGGCCTTTGCTGTAGCATTGTGTACGATGGCTTAAAGCCACCACCAAGGTATATCGTGAGCGCCCCGTGGGCGTGCGGAAGATTAGGGCGACCAGCGCAGGGGTAGAGCAAGTCGGGTAGATGGCAGGCAGAACTGCAGGTCGACCAAAGCAATCCTCCCTGAGCTAAACCTCTGCAGGAACAATCCCTATCGATAGCTGATCAAAGGGGGTAATCGAAGGGGAAAACCAGTCCGACTTCCGTACATGTACATGGGCCTAGGATCGAAAGTTACTATGTTGTATCTCATGCATGAGCACAGGAAAAGTAATGTTTTGCAAATCATAAATATTTTTCTGATATTGAAAACAAACTAGTAAACCTTTGGAACGTGCTGTCTGCTTTGGAAAATTTCAGGTTGACTTTGTGAAGGCCCAGCCAGCAAATGGCGTAAATGCCAAAGCGTCCTGACGCGCCTGAGTATGATGGCCCGAAGAAGAAAAGGCGCCCAAACCGAAGCTCGGATGACATTGAGGGCTTGTCTCTAGAAGAACAGCTTGCACATTTTGTCACTCCTCGAAAGCGGAATACAGACAAGGCCAGGTCAAAGCCTGCGACGGTGCGTTAACCTTGGCGATGACATCGGGGGTAGCACCTTCAGTCAGGATCTATCTACACCTGTTCCACTAGGTGGCACTGTGCTTCATATTGTATAAAGGTTTTTACGGAACGGCCTGCAGAAAATATGTTTGAATTTGTCGCGGGTCGCGGCGACCTTACCGCCGCTCTGGCTGGCGTGTGGAGAACCACCGAGACGGGCTCGGGTTATCGGAGGTATGCTAACGGGATTCCGTCAGGGATCGCTTTTGGCGCGCGTGCTGACGTTGTGCGTGTTTTGCAGCCCATGATGCGGAGGCACACAACATCCTCGTATGCTGCACCTGTGGCTGGTGTCGTAATTTCGCGGATACGGGAGAAGCGGTCAGCGGTGACAGGCAGGGGGGCCCTGGAGGGGGAGGAGCCACACCTTTTCGGGGCCGGCTCTTTAACCTCCCACAGTGGCATGAGCATTGTACAGACACTCGGATTACTGGTATTGACGCGAGTAAGCAGGCGGATCACTTTCGCCGTTTACTGCTCCAACTCGTGCACGTTGTCCCTGGGCCGCAATCCGACGGGGCGGGAACGTCCAACCAGCAACCTACGGGCGTTGAGGCAAACAAGGTACGACAGCTCCGGGTTTCGTGGTCACATGCCGGCCAAGTTTCATCAGTACATGATAGGTCAAAAACATCTTGTGTCTGCTCTCTTATGGGCTCAACTTATGCATTCGTCGCCTTCTTTCGCAGCATCTTACGACATGGCCTCTCAAAGAACAACAGGAAGGCCTGTGACGCCCAGATCTGTTTCGTTGAGTGGCGTCACAACGGCATCTAGCCCCTGACGAATCCTGTAGCCGCAGACCCTTTGAGCCTGGGCTTCAAATCCTGCGTTACTGTCGCCGATGTCCCCTAAACCATCGGAAAACACCAGTCGCGCTGATTAGATTGGTGTGCGCTTGGTAATGCCGTTTGCATCGTAGCTTGACTCCAGCAGTACTTATTGTTGAGATTTGTCATGGTTGACTGCCGCATACGGCTGACTCGTCCCTTCTTGGCCGTGCTGGACGTGTCTGCCGGTGATTTCCCCGTTTCATGACCTAGTTGCAACAGCGAACATTGTGGAGTTACCTGCTTCACCTAAATAAGGCAGAGGCACAGACAGTAGCAGCCGCATCTGGTGTTCATCCCCATAAGCGCAACTGCAGCAACGCTCCAGGGGAGCCCGGTGGCTCGCAGCCCGCCCTGAGCTACTTGGCTGCGGACGGTGTTACCCCCCCTGCTGTCGGGACTGGGGGAGGCGCTCTAGGGCTGGCTCGGGTGGGCGAGGTTCCCAAGGAGCCGCGGTCGCTTAGCTGGCTGGAAGGTCTTCGGCTTCATGTCTTTTACCATGAGGAGTTGCCAGCGGGCCGTTGGTACTCGGGTACTATCGTAAAGGCCTCCAAGAAGAGCCCGGCGGTACAGGTGCGCCCGTGTGGGACCCGTGGGGCAGGCAGGGCCACGTCTAGGGAAAGAGAGTCCGGAAAGGAAACGGCAGGGGGCAAAACCGCTTGCGAGGGGAAAGGACGTGGGAAGGGTAGAGGGCATGGTGCAAGGGCTGGAATGGAAATAGTATTGCGCAAACTTCTTATGAGAATTTGTGCATATATAGGGGTTAGAAGGCTGGGAACGCGTGTGGATTAGGTGGGTCGTTGCTTCGCAAGCTGCCTAACGCCACCTAAACCCCAGACTAACAATCGTCATAATGTAACTGTGTGTGTGTCTCTCGGTTTTAATACTCCTATTAGACCCTGTTGGCACTTTGCCTACTTGTAGCGGGGCACCAGACGTTCCCTGATGCCTTGTCCCTCACGCCAACAGGTGGAATGGGATGCGTGGGTTCATGAGCCCACCAATACCCAGCAAGAGGCAACCACTGGTGAAGTGCTGCTCGGCGTTACGCTGTTACACTTCGGGCCGGATCCGCCCAGCTCTGGTGGAAATGGGGTTCCGACGTCCATCAATCGTATTTGTGCGCTGCCGAGCTTTGCAGCGGAGCGCATGGTGGCACGTGGCCACAGCAGTGAGGCAGTGCTGGGCCGCGAGGTTGGGACCGTGCAGCTGAGGCCGGCAGAGGCCGACGGGCAAGCGGTGGTCAGGGGCACTGCTGGAGCCGCCACTGGCCAGCATACTGCAGCAGTGCAAAGCGAGGAGGGGAAGCAGGGCACGACGGCGACGGTGATGCCGGCTAGGAGGCCGCCTACAGATGGAGCAAAGGACGGGACAAGGCGAGCTCAGCGTGGGGTGGAAACGGGGCGGGATGATCATGTGCCATGCAATGGTGGGGCTGCGGTGGCGGATTTGGGTGTCTCAGGGGTCGCGGGGAATGGGGGGACGGTGTTGCAGCAACATGGTCAACCGGCAGCGGAGATGGGAGCATGCTGCAGTCTGCCTGAGGAACCCAGTTCAGAGGCGAAGCGGCGAAACAGCAGCAAGAAGCGGCACAGGCGAGGATTAGCGACGATGCAGGAGGGCAAGGATCAGGCCGCGCAGCAACATCACCAGCAACAGGGGGACGGCCGGGTGGTCTCTCAGGCGGATCAGCAGACTCAACAGAACCAGGAACGGATTCAGCAGCAGCAACCAGGTCAGCAGCAGCCACCACAGCAGGCGCGGCCTTCAGACAAGTCGTCGCCACAGGAGCAGCAACTCCACCAGCAGCAGAAACCTTCCAATCTACCCAAGAAACAGCGCCTGGCGCCGCAGGTGCCTACCTCGCAGCCGCAATTAAAGATCTCTATGTCCCCGCAAGCTCAGCGGCAGCAGTCCATTCCAGGTGCGCCTGGCGAACGCGAAGTTGCTCAGGCGCCCGCTGGGGGCGGCGATGATGAGACCCAGCGCGACCAGGACGAGGCTAGGGCTCTAAAACGGAAGTGCCCAGGCACATCGCAAAGTGTTATACAGGACGCACTGCGGATGCCGCCGCCGCCACCGCCCCAGGCGAAGAAACCGACACCGCAAGGCTCGCAGAGGCGGAAGGAGTCCTCGAAAGGGCAGCAGCCGGGACAGCCGCCGCCACATCAGCATGTGGCACCTCGGCAAAACCAGCAGTCACGGCCGCCTGAGCAGCAGCAGCACGTGGAGCAGCCTCTGCTTGGCAGCGAGGATCAGTCACTTAACACAATCGATCTTGCGATCCTGCTGGCGCAGAGGAGAGGCCTGAGGCCTTCCTCACCGGGAGCCGAGGCTGGGGAAGCCGAGGCCCTCGTCTCCAAACCCAAGGACGACCGTGCAGCCGGCATGGAGCACGGTAGCAATGGTGGAACGGAGCGCGGCAAGGATGTTTTCGCAAAGGCGGGTGCTGATGGAACTGGCAGCAGCCGTGGCGAAGCCAGCAAAGTGCCCGGTGTAGCATCAGAAGAGTTTGGGGGGCATGGCATAACAGGTGCAGCGGAAGGAAACGTTGCTATGGCTCCAGAAGTTTCAGGTGAAGGCCGTAGCGGCCATGATGGCTTGGCTGTTGGCGGTAGTGTATGGGCGGCAGGTGACATGGGCGGGGTCAACGGGGGGGGCACACTGATGGGCGGTGTGGCGGTCATTGTTCATCAACCCGCTGATGGACAGACCCCTGCAGACGTTCGCCCAGCGATGTCGAAGCTCGCTGGAACGACAGATGCTGCGTCCCAACCCGTCGGAGGGCCAGGCATCTGCCGTAGAGGGCCCGGTCATGGTCCTCCTGTTGGCGCTGCTGGTGCATCTGTCAGCTGCTTCGACGCTGCACATGGAGGGGTAACCCTGCCTGATTTCGTGCTGCCCCTGGAGTCAGAGCCGCAAGGCCGAGTGCAACTCTGGCCGATTGAGGAGACGCTGCAGCAAGCGCAGGAGGAGGCAGGAGGCCTGGGCCGACAAGTGCTGGTTCCGGGGCCCGGTCCTGGAGCCTCTGTGATGCCTTCAAAAGCGCATGTGAGAATTCCTGATGGCGGCCGCGCCGTTAGCGTCGCGGAGCCTCTCGAAGCGCACAAGCCAAGTGCAGTGAACGGGGACGAGTCACAGCCGCTGGAACTGGTGCTTAGCCAGCAAGAACAGTCCTGCGGGGGCGAGGAGCAGGATGCGGCAATTGGGGACCTGCCGGGGGACGGGGACGTGGCCAGAGCGGACATGGGTACTGGGCAGCGCTCCGATACAGGAGCTGCGGCTGCACCCTTGGGCGTCATAGCGCCTGCTGGTGTAACGGTGGCCCCTGACGGCGGTGGGGTTCGTGTGTCAGTAGCAGTAGCACACTGGGAGGGACCCAAGGAGCCAGCTGCACCGGCGTCTGAAGCCACAGGAGACGTTGTCCAGCAGCAGGCTTTGGCGGCCCCTGCGGTTACCAGCCGATACGTGTCCGCCGATGGCGTTGCAGGTGGTGGGCCGGCGGAAGCTGTTCCCGGTGGGGCGAGTGCCGACCGCCCGGTGCTTTCCGGCGCAGACGCTGAGGCCAGATCCTCCGATTCTGACGGCACCACGTCCAGCTTGAGCGCAAGCCTGATCCATCGCCTAGCCTCTCCGGCACCAGAGAGCCGCCGCCTGCGTAGTCGGCCACACCAACGAAGCCCCGATTTGATGGGGCCCTGGCAGCACGCGGTTGAGTCCCAGGTCGATGCGGACGAATGGCAGGGCGGGTGGCAACGGCCGTCGGGGAAAGATCTTCTGAATGCCCCTGTAGGGGCTGACGGCGGCGGGGATGATAACCCTGGCGGAAGCGGCGAGCGCGCGGGCAAAGATATAGGTGTGGATGCGCGCCCCTTCCGCGGGCGCGGCTTTGCAAGGTTTGGCGACGACAGCAGCAACGGCGAACCGGATGATGAACGTAATGGCAGTGGCGAGGATGACGGTGATGCCCGTGTACGGCGCCTGCTGGCGGCCGTGGGGTCCGGCAGTGGCAGCGCCACTACCAGTTGCTCGGCTGGACAGGGCGCTATGGCTGCGGGCTCGGGGGCTGCAGAGCAGGGGGCAAGCAGCCGGCGGGGTCTGCAGCTGCTGGAGATGGCGGCACCAACCCCGCTGCGGCCTCCTGATCAGCGCGATCCGCAGGGACAGTCCGCCACACACAATGGCGGGCGGCCTGAACCTTCGCCTTCTCCTGCTGTAGGCGCAGAGGCTGCGCATGCAGAGGCCGCCGCCTACTCAGCGGCTATACCAGGCACTGAAAGGCGCCATGGTGCTGATGCCGCTAATCCTGTCCTAGCCGCCGTTGTTGCGCCTGTGCCGGCAATGAGATCCCCTTCCTGGAGCCCCCAACTTCGGAAGAGACGTTTGGTGCCGCTGAGAGCTTCCAGCCCTAGTGCGGCCTCAGGCCAGGGTGCGACGGCATCGGGTACACAGGTGCAGGGGCAGTTGCAGACACCGGCTTCCGCCGCCAGGGAGGCGTCGGTGCCTCCACCTCGTCCGCCAGTGCTCGACGAATACGGCCTACCAACGGACGGCGACGAGGACTCCAGCAGCTACCGTACGGCGCATGAGGACGGTCAGAACGACGGCGAGAATAGCTGTGGCAGTGCACAGGTACCACACCAGCAAGAACAGCAGATGCAACAACAACAAATGGGGCAAGGCGACCAACCCCACTCACAGCAGCAACAGCAGCAACAACAAGGGGGCCCTGTTGAAGGTCTTCGTCAGCAGCAGCCAGCCAGCGTCGAAGTCGACGATGCGCGTCAGGAAGGCCCCGCGGACGAGGCCCCAGTGCTTGGGCTGGCGCCCACACACCGATCTTGGACATCCCGTGGCCCGCTGGCTCTAAACCTCTGGTACTCATTTGCAGAGGAGACGGCGACTGCCGATCGGCAAGAGGTGGGCGCCTCGGCGGCCGCTCCGGAAACAGGCAACCCGAGCCCACTCACAGCGCATGATGGAGGACTGCTGCGGGCCCAGGAGCAGCAGGAGGAGGAGGTCGCGGGGGATGGTGGCGATCTTGGGAGTGGCCCCGCTGTACTGGGCGGTGCGGTGGCCGTGGCTGTAGACGCGCAACCTGGAATGCATTCGTCTTCGGACGGCGTTGCGTCACTTTCGCCTGTGCTACCGACAGCGGACACGTCGGCCGAGCAACGTGGGCAGGAGCTGCTCCACTCTGCGGTAGCGAAGCAGCAGGAACAGCAGCAGCCAAGTTTGGCGGTGCTCGGCGGGGACCAGCAAGCAGCTGACAATGCTGCGGCTGCGCCAGCATGCGCAGCTACAACTGCCGGCCCTAGGCTGCTGCTGCCACCACCGCTGCCGATGCCTCAGCAACCGACCAGTTCGTTAGGGGCTGCTACGTCCACTTGCTGGGCTGCCGCCCCGGAGCGTGCTCGCGCTGGGGGCCTGTCAGTTCAAGGTGGTTGGTCGCCGTCGATGCTTCGCAGCATCCAGGATGTGGCGGAACGGATTGCGCACTCCTCCACGCCCCAACCTGCCGCCTTAGCAGCCGTGCAGTGCCTGCAGCAGGCAAGGCTGCAGGTCCAGCTCTGTCACGCCGCCAATCCAGACAACAGGCTGGTGCTGGCACACCATTTTCGGGCGCTAGATGCTGCGTTGCAGCACTTGCACGCTACCGGCCTCAGAATCGGCGGCGACGGGTCCGAGGGTGGCCATCTGTACCTGCGAGGACCTGAGTCGCAACCCCGTACCTCCGGATTGGCAGACCGACTCATGCTCATTCACATGTCGCCTCAGCTGCAGGTCGGGTACTGCTTGCATCTGCAAGTGACATGCGCCGGCGATATCGGAGGTGGCGGCGGTCCTCCAAGTGGCGGCTCGGAACACCCGGTTGGTAACGGTCGCAGCGGCTCCATGACGGGCAGAGCCGGGGGCTCCGTTCCCAGAATCGGCAGCGTGGGGTTTGGTCCATTCGGCTCGTTTGCCAGGGGCGCCTCAGCCGCGCCGTCGACCAGGATGTGCACGACCTACGGCTTTCTGTGCAGGTGGCCGCACGCCGCGGCGGCGGCGGAGGGCCGCCACGTGGCGGAGCTGGATGTGCAGGTGCAGCTACACAGCTGCGCAATACAAGGTGCCATGGGCCTGAAGGAGGTGGGGCTCGCTGTCACGGTGCGCGGCCCAGCCCAAGCAACTGGTGGTTTTAGGACCGCCGCTGCCGAGGCGCGGGGGAGCAGTCTGCCCGGGGGTGGCGGTGGCAGCGGTGGCTGGGACTGGCTTGCTGTAGTAGCACTGGCAGTGTGGCTGGGCAACGGCTTATGCCAGGTGGCAGCGCTGCCGCAGGGGCCTGGGCAGGCGGAGACCGGAGCAGCTCTCCTGCGGCAGCTGTTGGACGCAGGGGTGCTGCGGGAAATGCTGGGGCTAGCACCGCCGCCAGTGACACCACCCCCAGCGCCGCTGGCACAGGAGGGGACGGACGCAACGGCGGCGACCTCTAGACCGGATGGTGCAGAGGGCACATCAGAGGCAGTGCAGCAGCCACAGCATCAGCAGGCGGGAAGTGGTGCCGAGGCTAGTGGCAACGGTATAGCGAGCGTGCCGCTGTCTGTAGGACAGGATATTCAGCTGGAGGATGCTGCTGCTGCAGCACCTGCGGTTGTAGCGGCAGCCGCCTGCGCAGCGATGGGTTCTGAGTCTCCTCCCGCGTGGACACCACCTGGGGAATTCGAACAGGAACTGATGAGGGTTCTAAGGGGCACGGATCGGACGGAGAGTCCGTCCGTTGAAGCAGAGGCCGGGGTCCGTCCGTCCGTTGAAGCAGAGGCCGGGGTCCGTCCGTCCGTTGAAGCAGAGGCCGGGGTCCTGCATGCTGGTTTTCCTTCCAATGCTGCAGTTGTCGGGACCAATACCGATGCGGACATGGGAATCTCGCCGGAGGCCGCCCAAGGGTCCCCACACCTAGAAAGACTCGATGATGCTGGCAACAACCTGGCGCAGGGCGACAGCGGTGACGGTGATGGTATTGCTGAAGAAGGCGGCGATTGCCTGGCGGACGGCTTGGACGCGGGCGACGTCCTGGACGTAAGCTTCGACTTTGTGGGGGAGGAGGCTTTTGCAGCTGGCGATTTGCAAGGCACTGCGCGCATTGCTGCTGATGGCAACGGCACCGGGGGGGACGTTGATGGCGCCGACCTGGGGCTGCACGCTGCGAGCTCGGCGGACGTCGACGGTAGCGCGTCTGAGAACAGCAAGGAGCACGTTGGGCCTGTGCCGGCGGCCATTGATACAGGAACCGCCGTCGCTGCCGCACCAGCTGAGGGCGCGGCTGTTGCCGAGGCGGCGGCGGCAGCAGCCGCTGTAGTCGCGGCACAGTCAACCTATGTTCGCTCCCTTCAAGTAGATCCCCTGCTGCTGCGCACCTGGCAAGAGTTTGGCCTGCTGGATGACCTGGTGCCGCTGCTGGAGAAGCTAACGATGGAGGAGCTCCGGGAGGTGGGGTTGCGGTGAACGGGACAGGATCAGGGCAGGAGGGAAGTGGCCAGGACGGAGCAGGATGGGAAGCGGAAAGGAGGAGAGGGTGCGGTGTAAGGGAGCCGCGCGCGCGTGGTGCACTGGCGGCGTGCGGTATAGCGCGCACGTCTTTATGGGTACTTGTCAACGGCTTTGGTCGTCTGTCTATCTTCGCATTCCATTAGGCGAATTAGGGGGATCCTTTACGCCTAAAAAACCCGATCTCTGCTGCATCCCAAGCCAACTAGCTCGCTTGCTTTATTTTGTCCACCTTCGCCACCCCACTTCACATTTACACGATCTTGCTCATATCCAATCGTCGACAGGCTCCATTTCCCTTGATCGCGCGGCTCACGGCAATGTCACGCAACACCAGCCCCAGCAGCGCCCCAGGCGGCAATGCAGGGACCAGCGCTGCCGACGCCACAGCTATCACATCCACCGAGGGCGCCGCCACGGCCGCTGCAGATGCTACGGATGCAGCAGCAGCAGCCGCGTCGTCCGCTGCTGCCGAAGCGACTCCACCGGGTGCTGTCTGCAACGAGGCCATGTTAGCCGCCGCGTGTCTTGCAGTAGCCCGCACCTCCGCCTTGTTCACCGTGGCCTTCTACCTGGAGAAAGCGAGAATGGAGGCGGTACAGGGGACGCAGCCGCTGGGGAGAGTCCATACAGCCACGGAGCATGGAGCAAGGGAGCTTGATTCTGTGGCGGCGGCGGCGGCGGCAACACCGGCGGCGACGGCGGTGGCGGCTGCTGCGGCAGCGCCACTGCCGGGATCTGCGGGGCCGCGCAACAGTCAGGGTGCAGGAGCTGGAACCTTCGCGCCGCCGGAGGCTGCGGCTGCTGTGGCAGTGCACTTGGGACACCCGGACTCACAGCTCTCACGACCGCAGGAGGACCTCTCTGGAATGTTGCGATGGCTGCTGGAGCTGTTCTGGTCGGCACGCCAGGTGTACCGGACGGTGAGCGGCGGGGCTGCAGAAGGGAATGGCTGCCGAAAACGGACATGATCTGAGCGGCGCTTCCAACCTTGCAATTCTAAGTACAATTTTTTCAGTCGCCGGACCCTGTCGTCATGCCGTGTTGAGCGTCCTCATGACCTTGGTTACGCCGTACACCGCTTGCACCTGCCCCGCGCCCCGGTGACCCTCGCGAAACCGCCACCTGGATTGGCGACTCCTAAGTGTTTTGCCCGTATATATTACATTGCACTTTCATTCTCCCCCCCAAACACACTTGACAAAGGCACATGCTTTTTTTAGGTTCTAAGGAGCCCAATGCGTGCTTCCCCTCCAGGAGGAGTTTTGGCAGGTATTATGCCGCATGAATGCTCTCCTGAAGGTGGGCGCCACTGCGGGCTGCGGCACACCTTTGACTCAGAAGCCGGGCGGGTGTTCCCAGCTGGTCAAGGTAGGTGTAAGGCCATGGCGTGGCGTGAACTGCGCATTGCCGCCGTTTGCCAATCTCGTTGCCATTGCGGCTGAGCTCCTCTCTGCTGGGCTGGTATACAGACACAGCGTCGGTGTCCCTGCAAACTGCCACGTCTGCGAGCTGGGTTCTACTGTTGGCCGGTTGGCTTGGTACGCAGCCTAGGAAACGCCGCAAGCGAGGTCCAAAATAAAACGATTGATGAATTTTGTGAGGACCAGCAACCTCCATGTTTCCCAGGAAGATGGTGAAAGGGCTGGATGTTGCACCATCGCACGTGCGTCGCCATTTTAACATGTCGTGCCATGCGCGAGACCTGCTGTCCAGGCTTTCCCAAAGCAGGCCCCGGGAGTCCTGATATTCAGCAAACGCGTGGCTGGCTGCTATATGTCTATAGTAATCCAGTAGGATGGAATGATTGAGAGAGAAAAAGAGGTGAAAAGAGATGATTGAGATTGTTAATCTCTTTCGTGAAAAAGCCCCCAAGCATTGAGAGGGTTTGCACTTGTCTAGCGCCACCGCACCGCGCAGCGACGCTGCCCTTGCCGTTCCCGCTGCCGCCTTTCCGCGACCTTCCTCCGTGTAGACGGCGGTCATCGGCGTCTTCGCGAAGCCATGGCCGCGCCAGGCGGCGGTGTTGGGAGTAGGAGACTCGACTGAATCCCGGCTGGGGATGTGCTGGGAGGAGATTCTTGAGGCTCGGAAGCAGCGCCGTTTGGAGAGGCAGGCAGAGGGGGCCGCGGAGGAGGGCGAGGGGGGCGACCAGGGGGCTGACGAGGGCGCGGCGCCGGCCGACCACACTACAGGGCTTTCTGGGCCACAGCAGCCGCTACAGCAGCAGCAGCAGCAACAGCTGTCACAGCATCTTCAGCATTTACAGCATCGAATACAATCTCTGCATCAGTTGCAATTGCAGCAACAGTTGCGTGGACATGCGTCTCGACAGCTGCCGCCTCAACAGCGCCAGCAGCCAGCGCTGCAGCAACCGCGACAACGGCGACAACGGCAACGGCAGCCGCCAGGACAGCAGCAGCAGCAGCAACCGCGACCTCAGCAGGCACAACAGCCGCAAGAACAGACACAACCGCAACAACAGGCTCAGGTGCTGCAGCAACGACAGCAACAGACGCAGCAACAGGGTAACATGCCGTTACTGCAGGAGTTCTCAATGATGCTAAGCAGGCTTCCGCAGACTTACCGGGATGTCATGTTGCGGCTCTACGCCGTGGTCCTAGCACAAGGCATGCCGGCCCCTCAGCCTCTGCCTCAGCCGCACGTTCAGGCCCAGCCTCCCGCGGATCAGCAGCAACAAGCGCCCCTTGTGACCATCCGAGTGCGCGGCTGGACACCTTCGGAGGTGTTTTCTAACGGCACCCGAAATTATGTCATGTCGTTCGAGTACCAAGGCCTGCAGCTGTCGCACGCCTTCAACGTCCAGGTAGGGGTACGGGATCAGCTGCGGAGGGTTGCCGTGCGCGAGAGCATGGCCGTGCGCGGCTTGGGCATGTATATGCTTGAGTGTGAAAGGTGTATCCAAACTTCGTTCCTTCCCTTCCTGCCTGGCGACTTATTTTTGCTGGTGCATTTTGGGACATTGTGCACTTTGTCCCTCATGACGCAATCTTGACCGTAGATGCTAAAGCGCGCATTATCCTTCTTTCTTGCTTATTTATCCGTCATATTCTGCTAGTGGTTACGGCCATGCATGGATGGCTTCGATGTGAGCTTTACTGTTGGAGAGAGTTACGTAGTCGCCGTCACCGTTTGGATTATTAGATATACGTTTCGTCCTGAAGCCCCGCTGGCTCTGCGTCGACGTGTCCTGGCATGTCCTGCAGACCGCGATGGAAGGTGAACTTCAAAATGTGGTGGGGCACGAGAGGGAGCTGTCCATAGACATGGTGGCAGCTGCTGCCGCGCAGGCGCTGCGCGCCAGCGGCATGGTGCTGCCGCCGCCTGTGGAGCGAGCGTTGGCGGGCAGAGGCATTACAATGGCCCATCTGCAGTTCCTGACAACGCTCTTACAGTACTGGAGAGCCCAGGTGCGGTTGCATCCGGGGCTTTTAACGGTACTGCAATCGCAGCCGCAGCCCGTGCCTGCGACCGTGGCGGCAGCGTCCGTGCCGGGGGCCGCGGCGGCAGCAGTGGCGACGCCTGGTGTGGGGCAGGCCGCGTTTCAGGGTACCCACACCGCCGGAGGTTCATCAGGCGGCGAGTTACACACTGCCGCAGCTGTAGCAGTAGCCGGGGCCCCCGCAGGTAGGGTCAATCCGGACCTTGCAGCAGCTATAGCAGCAGCTGCTGCAGCGGCGGCAACTCGTGTAGCGACCGCAATGGGACCTCCGAGCCTATCACCACCAGCTGTGGCAGGGCCCTCGGCCATAGCGATGCCAGGAGCGCGACAGCATCTGCAGTCTGCTGCGCCAGGTCTAGAGCAGACAGGTTCGGCGACAGCTACTGCTGCTGCGGCGGCCGTGCCGCATCTCAGGCCGCCGGTGGCAGTCACCTTGGCGCAGTATGGCGCTGCGCACGCCGCTGCGCACGCCATGACAAGGCGTGCAGGCGCCCCGTCCGTGCCAGCACCTACTGTGCAATTGGCAGCGGCGACGGGTGCCCCCTTGGCTCCTCTGCACCCGCAGCAGCGGCCTCTGGCTCAGGCGCCTTCGCAGCCCCAGCTGACTGCCGCCGAGACGCGTGCGCAGTCACCGGTGCTCACTGGGGACGCCACACCTGCACCACACCCGCAACCTGCTCCTGTTCATCATCAGCACCTCCTTCCAAGGGTCCCGCCAGAGGGGCAGCGAGCGGCGCTCCTGATCCATCAGCGCCTTCAACAGCAGCAGCATACACAGCAGCTGCATATACAGCAGCAGGCTCAGCAGCGCCGGTTGTCTAGGGAACAGGTGCTGACGACGATGCAGGCAGCCCGGCTGGTGGACACACACGTCACAGGGGCTGGCCAGCATGCACCACAACAGGCAGCCCAGGTTGCAGCGGCGCAAGCTCCGGTACATGCAGCAGCGGGAGTTGCTGGCAGCGTAGGAACTGCAAAGCCTCCTCACGCATCGGCAAGTGTTGGAGGCGGTAGCAACGAATTCAGCACGCTGGGTGATATATGGAACACTCTTTAGCTCTACCTCTTGCGGGGTTCGCGCCCAGCACCGAGATAGCGCGATGCAGAGCAGGCAAGCAGCAGATAGGTCCTGGAAGAGACGACATTCCTTGGTCTCGAAACTTGGCTGGAAAGTACGATGGAGCGCCATTGAGTGGAAGGCCTGTTGCGGGCAGGAGTGCGGTTCGTCGATATGGGTGGCGGCACACAAGTGGATTTGTGGCGCTGATGCTGAAAGGCATACGGGCTTTGAACTCTTATGCAAAGCTGGCACCTATCCAATAGATGACAGGAGACGTGCCGCTCGCTGAAAGAATTAGCCGGATTTTTCGGTGGTTTGGAAGCATGGCGGATAGTAAAATGGATAGATACCTTTGAACAGGCACTAAACAGAGACAGAACTGGAACAGGACCTTAGGGTTTTAGGATTTGGGGGTTTCATCTCCCAAATTTTAGTTTTTACAAGGGTTTTCTCTTCAAAAACGATTGGAACAGAACCAAGCCGGGGAAGACGAGGTGCCGCCTTTCTTCATTGTAGGTGGTGGCTGAGTCTTTTGGCATGCAGGGCAGGACACCGCTGCTTGGAGGGCGGCTGTGTATTTTACAGTGGGGGCAGTTGCTTTGACATATATGTGTGTGTGCGTGACACCATGAGTTGCATTACTCTCCAAAGATGTAATGGGCCCATACGAGCCCTGAAGGGGCCCAAGGGCCATAATCCACCAATAAACTCTGAAGGCTTCTTTGGTACTTGGCTGTTGTTGGGAGCTACTTTCGTAATGCAATTATTGCAGTGTGTGGTCCCTCCCTATACTTCTGTGGAACGGTGGATCAGTGATTTGTTGGCATGGGCTGCCTGTCGGGACAAGACTGTAGTGTATAGGGACTGTGTGCTCAGTTTTTTTACGAGATTTGACAATTTCCAAGGACTGCAGAAACAGTCCACAAATTGCTCTTGCCTATCCTACTTGGCAGTCATACGTGGCTTTGCCTTTGTGGAAGTATACTGCGAAGCGACTGCTACACCCATCTCACCCATGTCAGCGCCATCAACTGTTTTTTTGGTTCAAGATCTTTTCCTGTCACATAAGCGCACTTTGTGCACACATTAAAAAAACATTCCATTAGCCGGCATTGATTCCTGGGCTTTGGGATGCAGCATTTTTTTATAGATTCTTGCATTATCTGATGCTTCCTCCGCTTCCAGCTGGGTTAACGTCTCCAGCATGGTCGTGCCTAGTGGCCGCGGTGCTGAATCGAGGGTGGTTTTGAACGGTGGTCTTCTGGGTTGATGCTATACTTTGGGCCAGCGTTGATAATGACATGTCAAAGGGGCCATTGGGCACATACGTCTTCATCTATGGCCACTTAAAACACAGGATTGGTCAGGTCAGACACGGTATAAAAATTTCAGCACACTAAGTCGTGCGTGGGGCCGGCAGGTAAAAAACAGCAGGGCATCCGTGTAAACTCCTGAGTCGCTCGGGAAGGGCTTACATGACGTCGCTGCTTGTCTTGAGTTCGTCTTACATTTGTTATGGGTGTCCCGTGCCTGTTGTACTGTATCTCCCTGGTTGAAAAGCTTTTCGGGGTGGCTACTGGTGCCAGGGCTGCGGCGCATGTCTTGCTTTTGTCCCTTGGGTCCGTGGTCTTGGCCCTCTGCCTCAGATCAGCGGCTGACCCACTCACCCTGGCCCTTCTCCTGGTGAATTGCTCGAGCTATCTGGGTTTTATGAAACTTAGCTGAAGGGCGATCGTGAATAGGCGAAGAGGAGGAGAAACACGTGTTTATGACGCGCGTCCCTGCAAACACTTCAGAACAGATGCATTACGGGTCGTGTGAAGGTTCTGCTCGGCTGCTTCTACTAGCAACATGCACAAGACGACACTGCACAGGTTGTCCTTGCAGCTGCACACAACGCCCGCCTACATCGAAGTCTCTCTGCCTGCGTCATGCCGTTGTTGCTCCGAAGTATTGAACTACTCGAACAAGTTGGCAGTCAAGCCAATTTGGGGAATGGCTTTACAGAGGCAGTCGCGTCAAAAACAACCGGAAACCGAAGTCCTGGCCAGGTGACCTTGTGCCCAGAGCGAACTTGCTGTGGTCTTCAGCACGACAACCATAACAGCTATTCAGTACTAACAATGCTGGCAATCGAATTGCCGTTAAGAAAATAAGACGCCTGGCTGCCTGTGCTTTGGCGCATTCCCCACAAGAGGCGCTCAAGATGACTCCCTGCATGGCCAAGCCCACCTTGCCTTCCCACCTGGTGCAACTCGACAGTACCCTTACGGCCGGGGTCCCTCTCCAGTGCTGGACAGAAGCCCCACCGAACATTATCTTCTACGGCACCCATACAGTAACGTGATTTACCCTGCCACAGCAAATGGAAGCACAGGACAGGAGGAGTGATCCGTTCCCTGTTCCTATCAAGCATTCGAACCAGCTCTCTGCACATATCGTCCCCTTTGGCTCAACCAACAGAGCCGTCGCATATTATGGGCTCCAGTCAGCCACATCGTGCCACCATCGACCCCTGGTTCTGAAACCTAGGCAGCTTGAAACTCCAAACCCTTGAGGCATAGGCCATAGAGGCCATAGAGACTTCCCTAAACCCTAGAGACTTCCCTCGCGCAATGCATGCCTAGCCAGGCACCAGCACCTGCTGCTGGTCGGCGCACTCGCGGGTAAACAAACGCTCATTGCGTCTCGATGTTGAGCGAGATGTCCAGCGCCGTCACCGAGTGGGTCAAGGCCCCTACGCTGACGTAGGTAACACCGGTGGCGGCGATGGTACGGATGGACGACAGTGTCACATTGCCCGAGGCCTCCGTCTCCGCCAGGTCGCCAATGCGTCCCACCGCCTGCGCACGCGTGTGGCAAACAGCAGGACGGGATTCAGCGACCGGACCTGGTTGCAATGAGTGGCTGCGACTTGAACGTTACACCGAGGGGTTTTTGTGAAGCACATTGCGGAATAGTAACCTGGATAGTTCGATTAGTCCTGACATAATTATTTCCTTTTAACCGATAGGATTGTGCAAGTCTGCGGCATCTATTTATTTCGGACAGCCTTGGGCGCCCTCGGGGCTCGAATGGGACCCCAGGTTTTGGGACCCCTTTGGAGGGCAACGCAACTCCAGGAGGTGTAACCCACACGCCCACACACTAGCACATTCGCCCGACCTACCTCTGCCAGCAGAGTCACATCCACTCCCCCCTCCTTGGTCGGGTCCCTCCGGGCCATGTTGTCCAACATAACCCGTCGTAGGTGAGGTGCGGCGCCAGCAGCAGGAGGAGGAGCAGGACCAGGAGCGCCGTCGCCGCTGGACTCGCCTGTCGTCACGGCTGCGGCGGCGGTTTCAGCAGCACGTGTTGCCTTTAGTATCTCCACTACTTCGTCCACCTCTTCCAGTGTGGACGTCTCCACCTCGATGCTCATGGAATCCCCCAGACCTTGGTCCCTGGGGGAGGGGAGTAGGATGGGACAGATATGAAGCCGCAAACCCAGGGGACGGTAGTACCGACCCGGGTGGGGGCCTTAAGAGGGGAGAGGAGCATGTAGGTGGTGTCCATTGGGGTGGTGGTTTGGGGGGGGGGGGAGCCTACGTATGTATACCCGCCAAAGTGCGTGCATGCGCTGGTGATTGCATAGTCCTGGGTTTGGTTAGTTTGGTGCTGCGAGGTGGTCTGAATTGCTAGTACGGCAAGCCACATGGTGCTCCTCTTCGCAAGAGCAAGGTCCCCAGGGAAAAGGGCCCCCTTGTTCGCAGACACCTACCCGGCCACGTGTGCCGCAAATGAAAACACACGAATGCACGGACATGTTCTTCCCCCTGTGTGCTGCTTGCCTGTAAGCTGAGTTAAAATCGATCACCCAACCCTGCCAATCGCACCGGCCCCGCTTGTAAGCCCCTGCTCGAACCCACCCCAAAGCACAATAAGCCGCCACACTCAACACCTGATGTATTCCTCTGCTCGCTGCACCGCCGCCCGGATACCGCCTGCCGCCGCGATATGGTTGTCCTTGATCATCATCATGTCGTACAACCCCATCCGGTGGTTGGTGCCCCCGCCGATAAGCACTGCCCACTTATCCAGCAGACGAAGACCTGAAGCAGTTCGGTGCGGTGCGGTGCGGTGCGAGGGTGTGTACATGTAAAGATCTGGACGTGAACCTAGGTCGGGTTGCGGATGCAGTGTGTGAGAAGTGACCAGGTGATGTGGGTCACACGCGGTGGTGGCAGCAATAGCAGCCACGTTGCGCCGTTCACGCGACATTACCCCCCCCCGGGAAGATCTCTAGGCATTCCACCGCACGCCGGGAAAATGGCAGCTGCATAGTCCGCGGCCCGCGAGGGTGAGCTCAACGTGTCAGATTAACAACCCATTTGGGATGTGACAGGATGCGATGACGTGCTACTTGGATGCAGTTTCTAGGTTTCGAACAGGCATTTTGATGCATCATAACTTTCAGTCGCCAGCAGCTCGCTTCATCCTGCTCGCTGACGGGTCTAAAACACGACGCGGAAGGCACTGGACGGACGCCCACGAGCTATCCAGCCGGTTATCCAGCCAGCCAGCCACACAACCAGTCATTCAGTCAATCACCCACCGGGCGCAGTCTTGCGAGTCTCCAAGACCTTGGTGGGTAGCCCATCCAGGGCTGATACCATAGCGGCAGTGGCGGTGGCGATACCGCTCATGCGCTGACGGAGAGGAGTCCGACAGGGGTCCGAAGGTGCAAGACACAGCAGGTGAGGATGGGGATCGCAGACGCACTACCCAGGTGGTGTGGAAAACGTGATTACAGTAGCAGGCAAGCGGACCGGCAGATGAGTTGACGCGTTGTCGACCCACCACCACTACGCTTGGCCAGCCAGCATGCCAACATGCCTGCAACAGTTCTTGGGATCGCGGCTATACATCCCGCGCAGATTAGAGCGCCTGCGCCCTTTACGTCATAGACGCCGTACGGACCCACACATACCTGCATAAAGTTGAGCATGACCCGTTCCGCCACCAGTATTGCCCGGGCGCTGCCCCTCAGTACCCCCAGCACCTGCCCCTGGTCCACTCGGTCGCCATCGCGAGCCCGCCATTCCACCTGTCCCGCAGTCCGTTGGGCCGAAGGGCGAACGGAAAGGTTGACGGGAACCCAAGAGTGTGGCGCCAATCCAACGTGGCAGCGGGAATGGGGGGTTAGGGACCGGATTGCAAGCCTGGCCAGTTGGCGCATGTGTTAAAGGAGCTCCAGTCGGTCGCTGTAATGTATGAGAGAGAGCATGGGCTGCTGCGGCAGCCATCTGGCAATGTTGCAAACTTAGGGTTCCGCAGCTCGCCGCCACGTGCCTTCAGGGAATGTCTCAAGGGGTGGGCAATGGGGACGCGCGGTAGGTACGCTTCTTCACTACTGTAACACAAAGCCGCAGCACAAAGCGCAGCTAGGCTCTCAAGCTTGACGAGCTGGTGGCTGGTTGACAAGCGACTTGCACAGAATTGATTCGTACCTGAACAGAGGGGTCAACCGTCGCTAGAACTTCATCCGCAATACCGAAGCCCGCAACGATTCCGACACTCTTCGCTGTGAATGTCGCTACTGCCTGTGTTTCCGGCGGGATCCTGCAAGGATAATTTCATATCTTCGTAATTGTGATTAGACGCAACCCAAAGGTTGTGCTGCGAGACCATACACTGTTTCAATTCATCAAGTCGTCAATTGATCGGTCGCGCTGAGAACCTGTCAATACAGCTTTGCCATCAACTTACGTCGCGAGCGTGGTGACATCTCCACGGTCACCGGCGTCCTCCTCAAGTGCTGCTTTTATAACCTGAACCAAGAGTCAATATGTGAGTTGCTACCCCAAAAAGGAGGCAAGGTGTTACGATGAGGCGCAGCCGCCGCGCACCTTCCCGACATTAACGGTAGGATGTGATGGGCAAGGTATGGCAACATAACTCCTACGAATGAAGGAAGCAGATTATAATAGGCCTAAGCTTTGTTATTCAACGTCATCCAAGACGTCAGTCACCTACTTGGAGGTCATTATGCTACTGACGTGCAGGCAGTTCTTTCACGTTTTTGAAGTCCCTTAAATCGACTGAAGTTATGCGCCCGTTTGCCTGTCTACGTGCTGGCGGTGCTATACAGGTTCAAGTACCTGTCAACTGATAACCGAAAGCATGCCATTGAAGAACAAATTAGGGTTATCAGACTGAATTTTCAGAATTTGGCACCGTTAAATCGGCTAATCATCCAGAGAAGCAAAACATGTACCTATAGGCCAGAGCCCCAGCTAATGCATGGCGCGTAAGGATTGTGACCAAACCAGGTACGCGAGGTGCCAACCAGAAGTTTGCTTGCATCCGTCCAGTTTGCAGGCCAAAGCCAAATCCATGCCTCACTTTCACCATATGACAGGATTTTTAAGCCAACATGGATCTCAATACCAACACATGGAAGCACAATAGGCGTCGCATCCCAAGTGACATTATTGCTATCAAAAGCCAAACAAGCACAAGTCCAGCAGTGCTTCTCCCGCACACAACATCCAACCACACGGCAATCCCCGCACAGGCCAAGCCGCGCTCATGTGCGCCGCCTGCGCGCAACATGTTACGCGAAGCAATAGGCTTGCACTTGCCGAAGTTGCCAAGTTCCCATACTAGTGAAGGCTGTTGATCCGAGTTTGAGTTTCTCCCGCTATGCATTCGCACCGCTACTACGGAGCAATAAAAAACAAGCGCATAGCAAGCCCGTTGTACGTTCCGGACAAAGGGGATAATTCATTGCATTCATGGGAAACGATGCAGAGGCGCACAGCTGGGCCGGCCCCCGGGCCTTCACCTCCTAAAATGGACCTTTCCCCCACCGTCGCCTTCAAATCCACCTGCATGACGGCATGCCAAAAGCCCCCCAAACCGCATAACAGCAGAAAAGGCAACGCTTGTGCGGCAACTTGCAATCCAAAAAGAAAACCACATGAACATAAAGCTCAATCAACAGCTGTCATCCTTTAGCACCCCAGCATTTTTAAGTCCCTCTACACAAGCGTTCAAGCCTGCGATCGTTCCATGGGATAGGAAGGCAGTACACAGGGAGAAAGAAACGGGCGGTTGGAGAGTGAGGCCCGGCACACGAACAGTACTACCATGCTTCTTGCCTCTTTTGTTGGCAACGTTCCGGAACGTTGGGATGGCCATTGCGTTTTGACCAACCATCCCTTTATTCCAGCGGACGTCGGCAAACACCCTCGACCGATCACCGACAGAGCTTTGGCGCGGGCTAGGAATGTCGATCGACGAAACATGCACCGGCGCCAAGTTTTTCCCCACCGACACCCGAGACCGCAAAACTAGCAATGGTAAGCGCTCACTTAAGGTAAGCATCCCTGCAATCGACATGCCAAGAAAAGCCAGAACCGCCTGCACAGCCTTCTTGCTTTGCAGCGCGCGCTGCATGCCAAACAGTCTCAGAGCCGACCCTTGCAACACACTGCCAAACGCAACTATAACGAATCCAAGTCCCTGCCTTTTGCACCAAGATGTCAGTCATTCAGTCATCCGCATCGGAGGCCACGGGTGTTTTTGGGGACGCCTCGATGTGTTGCGGCGACTGTCGCTGCGGCTGCTGTTGGTGATCTCCCGGCGCGAGCAAACCCCCGCTTCCAGACTGCGACGGCCCTGACCGAGGCGTGCCAGTGTTGTTTACGGGGACGCTTGTGCTGTGGACCATTGTGCCGTTATGGCTGGACTTGTAGCCATGGAGGCGCATGTCGACAACCACAACCGTCACGTTGTCGCGGCTGCCCTTCGCGAGCGCCGCCTTGGCTAAGGAACTGGCGGCCTTTTTGACCGCCATCTTGCTGCTGGATGTGCGTTGTAGCTCACCGTTAAATTTCTCCAGGGCCAGGGCGCGCGCCTCCTCATTTGTGAAAACGTCCTGACGTATACGCGAGAACGAGCAATCAGCTTAGGCAGACATGCAAGCATGCATATGCCAAGCATGGAGCTCGTTGCGCACTGGGTTATCAGCTGAGTCCATGTAGCCGAAAACATCATCGCTGTTATACTAGGTACACGCCATATATAACCTGAATCAATGCGGGGCTGCCAAATAAAGTGCACAACGCCTGAAGAGCTGATGCCGAGAACTGACAGTATTGGTGGCATTATGGTACTGTTGCACACCAATGGCTACTGATATGATGCATTTGCCGAGCCACGACCGTGGCTGAAGCTTCTAAACAGCGCACGTGGAATTTACAAGTACAGCAACAGAAAGCACTGGGGCGGTAAGGAACCCACTCACCCAAAGCCCGTCGCTCGCCATGATGAGCAGTTGGTCTTCAGGCCGGCGCAGAACCGACGTAATCTGATTATGGACGGGAAACAGGAGACGTCATCTCACCCTTCTACTTACACGATACAGACCTTGTTTACAGTCATGTTGAGCAAGATAACAGGGCCGTGCATCCAAGGCAAGATCAAAATGCATGTCAAATAACCCTTCCAAGCACCAGCGGCATTTAGGAATACCGCAAAACCTGCATATTCAACCTGCCTTCCGATGCGACATTTGCAAAGTCCGTTATCGGGCATAGACATTCAGCTGGCCCTTCGCAGATAAGAAAGAAAGTGCCCATTGTGGGGCGACACGAAATCCTTCTCCATTGACGGCACACAATGGATTCGGCATTCCAAATGCATCACATTGCGGTGGACCATTGTGTGGCTGCACTTCAAATTGGCAACCTGGGTCTCCGGCCTACCTCTGGCTCCGCGATCACGAATGGTCGCAGGCAATGGTCGCCAATGGCTCTGCTTACGGCCAGCTCTCCCATGACGCGGTCCCACCACACGTAACCGCCTGCCTGCTCCACGCGAGACTGTAACCCAGTGCAGATGGCAAAGGGACATTATGTGATGGAAGCGGACCTCTCGGTTCAGGCGCAAATGCCAAGGGTGAGTTAGAGCCATATGAATTAGCTATTTAGGTAGTCACGTGCCAGACGCTAAGTGGTCTCTACAACTTAATTAAGTTATATTAAGCACGATTACGTTAGGAGAAGCTATTCGCATGACCATGTAGGGGCATAATTGCCCGATGACCACAAGCATAGGATGCACCGCCGCATTACATCTCCAGTCTTCCCGTCCATGTCAAATGCACATAACCCTACCACTTCGTCTACGCGGGTGGCTTTGTGGTCCAAGCTTAGCGCCACAGCCTCACGCTCTCTGCAGAGAAGTGCTCGAGAGTCACCTGCAAGCATGGTAAAGGTACGGAGTTGGCCCGAGTCTGCGGGGCATTCAAGCCGGTCCGCAGATGTTCGGAAACGTACTCACCGCAGTTCCCAATCCAAAGAGTCTGCGCGGTAACAAGCGAGACGACGGCTGTTGTACCGACCTCGTGCGCACTGCGGTTTTGGGCCAACTGCGTATCAGTGTGCAAGAAGGCAGCCTTCAAGGCAGCCTCCATGCCATCGACCTGGGCAGGCCAAACCTCCGCTGGCTGCTGCTCGCCCGCTGCAGCCGGCTCTCCCGTCTCCGATGGGCCGTTCGGTGCGGGGGCCGGTGCCGGGGCTTGTGGGCCGGAAATAGATGTGCCATCTGACTTGACGCTGGCCCCCACGACCGCTTTCAGATGTTCATGCAAGCTCTTTGCACAATGCTTTGCGACATCGGGCCCTACGGTTTGGAAAATCGAAGGTTAGGCTGGAAAACCCGGTTCGCCCAGCTACAAAGCACACAGCTTGCACAGCTCACAACCCCAAAAGGTAGCAAGTGCTCACCGCCGTGACCATCATACACAGCAAAGAAGTGTACCGTAACCGGGTCGTTGCCATGCTTTTCGGCTTGCAGCTTTGGGTCCAGCACAGGCCGCGAAACCGCTTGTGCTGTCCCAGAATTAGCGGATGGCTGCTCAGTTTCCCCAGAAATAATCGGTACTGCCGATGAGGCCATCGTAACAGCCCCATGACCTTTATCCTGGCATGGTTGCTGTGTAGGCTGGGGATCCCCTGCCCCTTCCGCTGGCGCTATCATCATCGGCGGCAGGCGATCTCGTGCATTGCAAGTCCACCACTTTGGCACTACAAGCAAGTCAGGTACTGCCTGCCAACTGCGAAGGGTAAAAGATGTACTTTTAACGAAAAGATATCTACCCTCCCATCAGCAGGTCCTATCCTCTTACCTGTCTTCCATAGTCATACGTTGGCCCACAACAGATTTCGCTGCATATGACGGGCATGCTCCTGCTGACCTTACTGGTCTTGCAGCCTCCGTCGCCGATGCCATTTCGTGGTTGCTGGCTGCAGCCGGAACTGCAAGCCATGCTCAACTTTGTAAGCAACATGAGCTCCGCATGAAAGACCTTGGAAAACAGTGAACTCCGAAAGCCGCGTTTGTGTAAGGGCAACTTAATCACCCCGGTCACGCTTTGCCTCACCCAGTTGTTTAGCGGGTTTGGAGCAGTTAAGAATTTCGGGCTGAGGAGGCCCAAGCCTCGGCGCCTCGACCTTCCTACTTGTGGGGTGGTTGCCAAGGCTCTTCTTAACCTTTTTCCACAACTTCTTGAACATGGGACGCCAGGAACTACCTAAAATCCCCTACACGACCTGCATCATCATTGATCAAGTCGGCCACATATGGAGCTGTCGGCAGTCCAACACTGTAACCTAAAAAGTTCCGCAAAGCCCGGCGCAAAACGATACAATTATTTACTTGAGTATACAATAGTTACCTTTGCAGCAAGGGGCTCGACGAGAACGTCCCCAGCGTCCGTACCCTGCACGACTTGTTGTAAAAGGCCGCGCGAATTGGTCGTGACAGTTGGCAAGCCGTCTGATATGGGTGCCGAGCACCAACTAACATTAGGCAAAGTGTCTCAGGACATAAGCAAAAGTACTTGCTTTTCCGAAAGTCCAAGTTCCTGTGAGACTCTCGACTCGCAGGCCACGGTCGCTCTTCTGCAGTTATGAACTCCTTGGAGGCCGGGCGGGTCCTGAGCGTGCTAGATGAGACGCTGGAGGGGCTCAGGTGAAATAACGCGTGGGATAGCGTCATGACATCCATCGATACGCATCATCTTCATAATGGTTACCGATTTACAGGTTGGTATCATACATCACCCAAGATGTGCTGGATACAGCAGAGCAGCTGCGTGATATGCTGGGGGAGGTAGGGAGAGTGCCACATGCCGCAGAATGCGTCCCCACGCGAAGGCTGTAATCCATGCCTGCTGACCCGAAGGATCTGGCAAACACTCTGATCAAGCACCGCCAGCTACTTCAAACGGCGAAATCAACGCTCAACAATGAACAGCTACAAGCGTCAACTCTGGAGCTCGTGCGCCTACTTAAGGCAAGATTGGCCATATAGCATGCACTCGGGCTTGCTTGGACAAAGGGGATCGCGCAGCACTGGGCAGTTTTGTGGAGATTTACCTCCGGCGGGTCCGCTGTGTAGCATCGTACATGCACGCGCCTTGGGCACCTCAACAGGCCAGAATGGGCCCCGTAACCACCATGGCCCAGCGTCCATCCTTGCGAAAGAACCCAGGCGACTGGTTGAGCAGGTCCTAGCGTCAGGATGGACTCTGAACACCTTACCTGCACACCGCTAAGCTGTTGCCTCAAGCCTCAAAACCGCGTACCACTCCAAAAAAACAACCGTGTGCTTATTACCGCAGAAATCACCGTCAGCACAGCGGCTCCAGGTCCTTCCTTACGAGCGCACATACGGCATCTTGCAAGCGCTTCAATACTTCGATCAGGTGGGTGGCATGGAGGCACTCTTTTTTCCGTATGCCTGAGGCCGTTCTTAGGAGCGCTTACGCGCCTTGCATTAATGTGGCACCTCCCAGAGCCGTGAACCTCCTGACTGTCGCCGTTGTGTTCCAGAGATGCAGAGTCGCTGCCGCCGGTCATCAGACCCATGAGCTTCATAGCTTCACTACACTTTGGGTTGAGAAGGGTTGAACTCCCATTATGTGTGCGCGGGAGAAGCCCGCATCTCACCGGAAGCTTGCATGTCCTGGAATGGCCGTTTGGGCCCAGCAGCAGCCGTCGGGTTGATAACCTTCCACCCGCTGTCCTTCGCTCGCAGCTGAGGCTGTTCACGCAAAAGCGGCTTACGACGACGGTGGAAGAGGACAGCAGCAATCGGGAATATTTTGAGGAGGTGGGCGAGGGGCAGAGTTGAGGGGTGTAAGTGCTGGTGGTGATGCATGGGAACTTTAACGGGCAAAGGTCAACCTAATGCTCTTTTCATCGACCACCCGCTGCGTGGCAAGTGAAGAAGCTGGGATTATTTGAGGTTGCCAACCCATGAGGGTCAGGAGCCGAAGCTCAGTTCATAGTTCTGCATCCTGCCTGCGGCTATGCAAACGCCATTCTGTATTGGCTAGGCGCTCGACGGACGTCTGAAGCTTAGACCTCCAGCTTTCTTCCTTCGCGGTTCTTTTGAGAGCTGGGTCTTGGGCTTACTATGAACAGTTTGCAACAGATATGTATTTCATCAAGGCGAGGTAAGCTGGCGCGGGTACGCATGCAGTAAGCCAGCAGTTGGGCAGCTTAGCAAAAACACTTTTGATGTGGACTTGCTCTTGGTCTACATTGCACAGGTCCGTGACCGCGAGGAGCGAGCGGTAGCTGAGCGGCTTCAGCTGGAGCAGAAGCTTCGGCTGCAGAGAGTGGAACTGCAGAAGGCAGCGGGGAGCATTCAGGCAGGTCGAACGCGTCGCATACGGGAGGGGAGCTGCAGACTTGTTGATGGCATGTATGCGTGAGAGGCCGTGGCAAAGGCGCGCCTATTGCAGGGACGGGCGGCCTAGGTGACGGTGTTAAGACAGCCCGGCAGATGGCGCGATTGTATACGGGGACCAGGTTTCTCACGTTTACGTGGGAGAATTCCGGGGGGAAATTTCTTGGCGGCAATGGTTGCAGGTATCGCAAGGCAAGTGAAAACCATCAATCTGGCGGTAGCGGCCTGGATGGGCACCGTAGCGTGTGATGCCGAGTACCCTTCACGCCACGGCCGTCCGCCACGGTCGTTACTTGGGCGTGCCATCGGCTGCTTCGCGGCTGCCTATGTGCGGCTGATCCATCCTTATGGCCCTGGATGTAGGGGCTCTGTGGCCTCCCCTGACCTTTTTCCTTACCCAACTGACAACACGGCGTAGGTGTCGGAGGACCGGGCGCGCGGTGAGGTGGCCGACGTGCAGAGCAGCACTGCGCAGTCAAGGACAGCCATCGAGGCGGCCGCCAAGTCACAGGCTGACGCCGACCGATCGGCGTTCCAGGTACGTCCAGGCCCCAAGAAGTTGAGAGGTTGGAAAGCATGGATTTCAGAGCGAAGTTGAACCAGTGTGCTTGTCCGAGCTTACTGGGTGCAGTATTGGGTTTGAGACAGGGCGCTTTGGGCATTGTTTGCGGCTAGGGTGAGGGGCCAAAGGTAAGGGGCCGCTGGATGGGCACAAGGAAAGCGTTTTGGGGGTTCTTTTTGACCGCTTTGATTAGTAGTACCAGGAAGTCAACGTGTGTGGCTGAGGGAAGCTGGTAAGGGGGAGGCAGCGGCGCCCGCGGCCTTAGTTCCCTGTTTTGGCAGGACGGCTCGTAAGAAACCCGACGAGCTAAACTTTTTATGCTTAAAAAACTTGTTTAAGACCAAGCATTATCCGTCAAATGTTGCATGAGGAGGTCTGGTCTGGGTCTGGGTTGACACTACTGCAATTAGCGGTTTAAGGTCCTGGGTTCGATTCCTGGGGAGACCCCCGAATTAGTCGGGAGCGCGAGATTATGGTTAGCTGCTGAGATGTGGAGTTGAGGTCACAGTTGATGGACCAGATTCGCACGCTGGATTGGTGGCGATTGCCAAACCCTCTGTCTCTTCGGGTGTTCGGGTGAATGGATGAGGAGGGGTCCCTGAAGGCTGGATCCGCCGCCTTGGACTTACAGTTCGTATGGCGAAGTACAGGTGGTAGTGGTGGATGGTGCTATAAGGTGATAAATGATCTAGAATTGACAATGTGATAAAGCGGCCCAGAAGCCTCCCACTCTGTAACATTACATTACATTACATTACATTACATGCATGAGGAGCTGTATGCGAAGGCCGCCAGCATTGAGACGTACACGGCCGCTTGAGGCCTTCTGTCCATTCCAGTGACCTCGTATGGTTGCGTGGAAGAGCCTTAAGCGTAGAGGGCCTTAAGTATCATGGAGAGCGCAGGATTGTCAATCTGGAACTGTTCTTCCGTTATGCTTGGGGCCCTGCTTCAGGATGTACCTCACTCTCCTAACCAGGAGCGGCCCTCCCCGCGAGCTAGTTGCTTCCTTACCTAACCTGCTGTCTGAACTTGCTTTCTGCTCTCAGGCCGACCTGGCTCTGGCGACAAAGGAGCTTGCGGCTGCCCGTACGGAGCTGGCCCGGCTGAGAGCGGAGCACAAGGACAACGAGGCGCTGCTGCGGAAGGCTAGGAAGCGCGCAGAGCAGGTGCGAATCCGAGGAGGAAAAGCAGCCACAGCGCGCGACGATCAATGGAGAGCGCGCTGACGGACAGGTTGTCTTTAAGGCATTCGTTCGATTCAGCGCTGGGGCACTTTCGGCACTTTACGTTGGGGGCCTAGTGGGTACGATGAGCGGGGTGGGCTGTCCGAGGCCGAAAGAGCGTTTGCTGCCATCCCCTCCCGAGCAGCGGCTATCCCGCCTGCTGACCCGTTTTAATCCCGGCTCCGTAGGTGTCACGGCTTCTGAGGTTGTTCAGGGCCATCGCGCCCATGCTTCACCGCGCGTAATCGCTGACTACGTCCTCGTCTGTGCACTCTTCTTCCCCAGATCCCATCGCATTCGCTTCTTTCCCCCGTTTCTGCTCGCTTACTATCATCCTCGTCTAACGGGGCCCATTCGCAATGTTTTCTCAGGACGTGGAGGTCCAGATTGGCGAGTACGATGCAGACGTGGGCGCAAAGGAGGAGGAGTTGGCTAAGGCGCGGGCCGAGTACGAGGAAGTGCTCAGTCAGCTGCATGTGGGTGCAAGGGTAGTATAGGGCAGCGGTAGTTTGGATGCACCGGTTATGATTGCCGCAGGGACAGCGCATGGAAAGCTTGCTTGACCGCATGAAAATACCGTAAACATTTTGATGCACTTGATACTTCTGGATCGGCAGTTATGGTCTACTTCGTGCCTATGGGTCCTTCTGCTGCAGGAGTACAACCGCGGTTGGAGTGAGATGTACCAGGAGCGGCTGGAGTACGAGGAGCGGGAGAGACGGCTGGCGGAGCAGCGATTCCAGGTGGGGGGAGCGGGTATGAGGTTCAGGAAGCAAGCTGACTCTGACAAATTCTTGGGCATGGGAAGGGAACACTGGCGGCCTTTCTGGGCGGACAGTTGGATGGGCGAGGTCAGCTTGCGGATAAGTGGGTGAGAGAGCCTACGTGTGAGGGGTGGTGACTTTGGGGCTGCACTGTGCTCCCTGGCTGCCTGGAATTGTATGGAAGCCTGGTCCCAAAGCACTATAAGAACCTATCGGCCTACGAGGCTTTTGGACCCTTCGGCTGGTGCTGGAAAACCTAAGTGCTCATGCCCACCTTTCCGAATGGAGACCTCCAGGTCCTTGCGCCCCAATACTTGTACCTGCTTGTGCTCTTTCCCCCGGTGACATTCTTATCCTCCCTTCCCCAGGCGGCGTTGCTAAACCTACGCCGCAACCATGCGGCGCGCGTGGTCCAGGCGGCGTGGCGTGCATACAAGAAGGCCAAGGAGATTGCGCGCAAGAAGGCGAAGAAGGCGGAAAAGGCCAAGGCAGCTGCCAAGAAGAAGTAAAGCGAAACTAGTAGTAGATCAGTGAGGTAAAAAAAACTCACGGCACGGCGGCGCTGGTGCAGGGCATTGGCAACGGCCTTGGGAAGGTTATGGCTATTAAGGTCACAACCTTCCTGGCAGGTATTCTGTGAGTATGTTAGCAGGGGACATTGCCTGCATCATAGCACATGCTGGCAATTATTGGCAGGAAATGATGAGAGGCTGTGTGGAGACCAAACTCCGTGGGGCGAAGGCAACCTGTCCGGTGCGGTACAGCTGTCAACAGAGCGGATGCAATGCGGCTGGGAAGCAGGTGATCAGGAATTGGCTCACTTTTCGTGTACATATGCCACAGGTGGGCTCGCTCCCGTTGGCAGGCAGCAAGGGGTAGGTACTCAGAACCATGCGTCAGCGCATCATTATCAGCCGCAGAAAGTGCGAAAGGAACGTCCATATCTTCCATGTAGGACAGGAGCATATGGAGGAGTTTTGAAAAAGGCGTGGCCACGTACATGATATGAACAGCGTGCATAAAGAGCAGGTTCACTGAACTGGGGCTGTCCATGCTGGCTGCAAGACGCCATCCTTGGGTCGCTGAAGCCGCCTCTGCTGCCTGCCGAGGATGGCGGTAGCGGCAGTGAAGGCCCAAAATGTCAAGTGTGTTCCCAAGCAGAAAATGCAGTGCGGCGGTGGCGGAGTGAGACGCTTGTCCCCCGGCAATGCGTAGGGGTATGGCTGCATGTGCTTTTATCGCTGCGCCCGGGTGGTCTTGCATGACTGGTGTTCCAGACTAGGGTTACTTTGCGCGCGTGTATACATGTGCATCTTCTGCGTGTTCAGGGTGCAGTCGTACTGAGCATGTTGCCACCACCTCAACGGTCAGGAATATCATCTCAGACAGGGTAAGGCTTTGGGTGGTCCGTGCGGTACGTGTCGCGTTTTTGCCTGTGGGATGACGCCTCCACGGGTGAGGCCGCCTAGTATGCCGTATCAAACGGTAGTCCGGAGGCCGCACCATCCAATGGTTGTACGCAAGTGCGCATCGTTCTTCCTAATGAGGTTCAGTATGTAACGATTTTTCTTGCATAGCTGCGTGCAACTGGCAAGGTTTGAATGCAACAGTGAGGGATGAATGTAATCTTCTTAAAGAGCCCTGAGCGCTTTCCCTCCACATCAATGTCCCGGTAAAGGGGAAGGCAATTCTGGCGTCAAAAATTGCTTGCAAAGGCGCGCCCCTCGACCAAGCTATTCCGAAACCATTGGGCGCCACGCACCACGCCACTCATTATGCTGCCCCCAAGCGTCCGGCCGCTGCTAGTCGCATCAGACCCGAAGAAGAACCGTAGGACTTGCCATATCACACCATGGAAACACTCCGCCACTGCTTTCAGTACTCTCTGAACAATTCTCAAACTCAGTAATATTCCATCTGCAGCTGCTGCGAGTCATAAATAGTGCGCACAACCGACCACGCACACACCCGGTCGGAAAGTTTGGTGCTAACGGAGCCCTGCCTCCACACTCGATGCCTACAGGGCCGAAGTGACCCGATCAGATGTTGAGAGCGGGTCTAACAGCGGTTAAGGAAAATCGAATCGGACTTTGAGGAAGAGCTCACGGGACACGGCAGCAATTTCGGCTTGAATTTGGGCTCCTCTATACAGTTCTAAATAAGGAAGCCGTCTGTTGGCGTCTGGGTGCAGCTGCTGCGGCCTCCACGTGCTGCTGCTGCAGCTGCCGCCTTACCAGCCGCCACTCATTACTGCAGGCAGCACTCCGCCCGCCGCTTCTGCGGCCCCTGCTGCTGGCAATCGCCCATCTGCCGCCCCAGCCGCCATGACATCCGCTGCTGATATCGGCATGGCCGTTGTCACCGCTGTGGCTCCTGTTGCTGGCAACACACCGGCTCCAGCCACGGCTGTGGCTGCTATCTTTCCCCGGCCACAGCATTAACCATCGCTGGTGCTTCTTGCTGCTCCAAGGCCGCTGCCGCAGCGGCTGCCACTACGAAAAGTCTTTCCCCATCCTTCATTGGTAACAAAGCGGCCACCAGCTTCGCGAGATTGCTGTCATGCTCGGTCAACCTGCCGATTTCCCTAGCACTCCTCCTTTTGCAGTCGTAAGGGATTTGGGGAGAATGCGCTTTCTGCAAAGGGGATTCCTGTAAGTGAGCTCGAAGGCCATGTTGCATTGTGTGTTGGGGATTAGGCCATGTGTGTGTGTGTGTGTGTGTGTGTTACATGGTTGGGGGGGTGCGTGACCCCATACCTGTAGAACTACCCATACGAGCCGAATGCACAAGGGAAGCCACCAAAAGAGGAAACCCCGCACTAGCAGAAGAGAAAAACTAGCGCCCAAAGGGAATGACTGAGTTGCGGTAGGCCATATACTTTGGTGTGCTCAGTGCTGAGATTCACTTCCACTGTCTTAGTCCCAAACTACATCTCCCTACACATCATGATAAGCCTTGCATACCACGCGACCTCCCTGTAGCTGTGCAGCTGGGGTTCATGGCGTTGATCTGTGCTTCGGAAGCTGGTGGTGGGCATGCCGGCCTGGCAGCATGGGGGCCTGAGGTGTGCGTGTCAGCAGCCCGTACGGCTACATGAACGAGCTGCCGTGCAGCGATACTGCCGCTGATGGCCCACACCACATCACACGACGACGCCAAACCACGCACACCTCCTGCCGACATCACATCATGCTGTCGTTATCCCAGGGCGGGCAGCGGTCGCTCTGCAGGTAGGCCTGGATGCGCGGACGAGACGCGATGCGCTTCTGCGGAGGAGGTGTTGCCCGTTGTGGAGCGAGGTAGGGAACAAAGAACAGGACGAAGAAGGGCCTATACACGCGCAGGAGGATGTGTTAAGGTGTTAAGCTGTGACCAGTGGGTCCTTGAATCCTCAGGAGCGGCAGCAATTGCTGCCCACTTTGTCAGGTTGAATGGCAGAACGAAACTATGTTCGTTCCTGCCTTCGGTCTTTCCGTGGAATACTTTCTGTACGGCAGCGACTCACCGTGAGGCGGTGGTTATTTTCTAAGGTGCTGGCCCCTCCATCAAAGACCTCCTCAGTCCTCACCCAAGGCTTCCGGACACCGCCGTCCTAACCACAAAGTACTGATTTTTGACTTTCAGGTCCCAGGACCCTTAGTAGCAGGCTGCAGAAAAAGCCCCGCAAGGTGCGGGCAGAGCGCCTTAGCGCATATTTACAGACGATGTGTGTGTGTGTCGTAGTACTATACGGTAGCTACGACAGGACCCGACACGCACGGCATACCTGATGTGCTTTTGCGCGGGGTACATCCACAGCATCGTAATACTGTTTATAATGCTGCTCAGCGGCCGCCATGTACTGCAGAAGCGTGAGACCGAACCAAAAAAGCCGGTCCGGGCTCAAGAGTGGCTCAGCGCAATAGAAGCTGAGAAAAGCAGAGGGTGGGGGCAATCCGCAACCAACGCGGCAACGCAGGCACGCCTCCCCCGCACGGCCATATGGCCATATGGCCACCCCACTCGGCCCACCCCAGCCCTCCTCCCTTCTAAGAGCTTAGTCGCCGACCTACGTGATACACCGCGAGGTCGGCGACGGTGACGGAGCCGCCGATAAGGAAGCCCTGCAGCGCCGGCAGTACCGGGGCGGAGAAGGGAGGGAGGAGAGCGGGTTGGGAGGAAGGGAAGGCGGGAGGATGGGGAGGACACTGGAAAGGAAGAAGAGCCCGCTAGCTTGCGGCTTGCCTGGGGGTCCGGGTTCCCCTCTAGGAGGGCCTCCCAGTACTGCAAATACTTGGGCAGCCGGCTCTCGCCGTACTGCTTGATGTACGGCTTGGACTCCTCCACCTGAGTCTTGTGGCTCGCGTAAAAGTCCTGCGAGAGGCCCAATAACGAAACAACAACTGGCCAGTTAGCACGGGACACTACATTGCCATCCGGGCCCGGGGAATGTGTGATTGCAGCAATGCCTGGCGTTCTTTTGACTTTTTTTCGCCTTGGATCACCTCACATACGTATTATCACAACCTGACACAACAACCTGACTTCCAGGATACCGGGGGGGGAGGGGAAATGACGCGCGGTGATCCCTAACCCACACGCCACCTCTCTCCCCCACCAACTATCCGTCCGCCACCAACGTACCTCCGATGTGCCAATTTCATGATGATGATGCACGTAGCTTATTACAAAGGCAACAACCTAGGGCGCAAGAGTCCCCACCTGGCGCAAGAAAGCGAGTATGGGGTAGAGGAAGCCGAGCCCGACCTTATGATGTGCAATGATACCGCTCGACCCGCGCTCTGCCTCTGGGCTGAGTCCCGATTAGGTTTCCTTCCAAGCCCCCCCGTGTTGCTCCTACCTTGGGATGGAACGCCAGGCGGCCCTCTGCCACCGCATCAGTCACCACGGCCAGCACTTGCTCCACGTGGGCTGCATCCTCCAGCCCATCGGGCATCAAACCAAACTGCCGACCCAGGTAAGCCTGGTGGGGGTGGCAGGGTGAGGATGACAGGCGGGCGACATCAACACAGTCCCGAGGGCCCTATGAAACTCGCTCTTCAACCCCCCCTTTTCATCAGGCCGTACATGTTCTGTTGTTAGAAGCTGGGGACCGATCAAGTTCAATGCTTAGATACCGCCTAAACACCTAACAAGCTGCTTCCGGACATCTTGCTGCCACACCGTCACCGTCCCTCGCACAGGTTTACTCCGCTGGCCCCGAGCTTTCCACACTGGCCTTAGCTGCCCCTCGGCCGTCGCAACATTGTCCTGCCCATGGGCCCACTTCCCTACCCTGGTTTCTCCCGGCCCCCCGGCCCACTGCCCAGTCGCCCCACTGGCCCACTGGCCCGCTGCCCCACCATGACGACGGGTGTGTTGGACAGCACAAAGTCGCCTCGCCGTATCGCCGGCGGGGCGCGCACCGGGAAGCCCGTGTTGCCGCCCTTCCAGGTGAAGTCAATGACAGACTGCATGCCTTCGGGGTTTTGGGATTCGGGGGCTGCTGTTGGATGGTGGTGGCTTTCTGTGACTTGGCGAACCCACTCGCCCTTTCAAAAACCCGTGTCCCCTGCCGCATTTGCTACTTCGTTGTTCGCCCATTGAGGTTAGCGACGCATGCGAGACTGGAGCCGAGAAAGGTAGTGGAGGGGAAGTAAATACGCAGCGCACCTCCTTTCACGGCAACATCAACGTAAGGAACACCGGCCTCCTCGAATACTAGGCGGACGTACTCTCCGCGGCCCTTGACGCCTGTCACCGGGCATCCATCGGCAAGCCGTCAGGTACCCAGGCATGGCGTAAGCTTTCGACTTTCCATAGCCTTAACCTCAGCGGTTACAGTGCAAGTGCCTAAAACTCACACCTGGCAGGAGAGTCGTGCTTTTAGGGTGCAGTTACGTCGACCCGGAAGCCAACTAACCTGGCCAGTAGATCAGCTCCCAAAGCTCCTCGGTATTTTTCAGTGTGGTCATGCTTGTTTGTGATGCTATGGATGACCTTGTGCAGGGTTTTCTTAGCTGGCTCAGGCATCGACGCGCAGAACCGAAACCAGATTTGGGCGTTGCGACAGTTACTGTGCATACTCCCATACTCACATACTTGTATCCAATTTGGCATTTAGGTATAAGACACTTGCCACATGGCAGCAGGTTGTGCAGACCGTGGGAGCTAGCCGTTGCAGTCCGAAAATACATTATTACCAAGGACTATGGAAGAGCTTGTCGGGCCGCTTCAAGAAGTTTTCAAGTATTTATTTTTCAATCATCTCATTATGATAAACTCAACGCGCAGCGTACTTAATGCTAGTTCATCGCAGGGACTTACGGCGGCAATGGAAATCATTTCAAGAATCTGAGCCATTTCTACACGTTCTACAAGGTTTCCTTCACGCAATAGATTGGCGGGTGCGTGATCTACATCCTCAACTTTTATGCGTCTGCTGCTACAACCTGAAGCAGCCTCGCCAAATCGTCGTTTTCTGATGGTGCACAAACTGTTCTATTGATTGCAGGAGCCCTGGATTGTTAGCATCCTTGCCTTTCATGTGCTCACGCTGGTCATCGCCTTGGTAACTCGCAAACGAGGGGCTGTGCAGCTGTTCGTTTTTGTCCTTGCAGGTGATGTTGTATCCACTTGGACACACAATCTTGCAATTTTCATGACCGCTGCACAGTATGTTCAACAGATTGGGCTGACCCACGGACCCGTCCGTCGGCTCCGCAGGCGGCGTCATCTTCAACGCCGAGCGCCTGAACAAGCTTGGGGCGCAGCACTGGGAGAAATTTGCGGGTCAAAATTACTTCGATTCTACGGGGGTCTTTATGAGCGCTGTGGTATCGGGCCCGCAGCTATTGGTGATGTTCATCATCCTGGTGAGCTGAGTCGCGTGGCTGGGTGCGTGTAATGTACTGGCCCCATTATTGCCTAATCCTGACCCTGTCGCGCCTGCTTTAGGCACTCTTCAGTACATGTTCGATAGCATGCGAATGTGTTCTTTCTTTGCGCCTGCTGCAGATTAACTACCTTATCAACTGCGCGGGTATGCTGGTGGAGGCGAAAAAACGCGAGCTGATATACAAGGCCAAGCAGCGCGCGAAGGAAGCCAAAGCTTCTGGGGCATCCGCGGGTAACAAAAAGGAGGACTGAGTTTCGGGCAACAAAAATGGGCGGGGGACCGGCAGTTAGCAAAATAGACTCTACAGATCCTAGGCTGAGCACAGGCGATGTCCAGGCTGGGCCTTTGCCATTGCCCTGCTCGCGATATGCGAGTGGCGGAGCGAGCGGATCCCACTCAGTTCGCTTTGAGCGCAGTCCTACTGAGCACAGGCAAGCACGTAGGGCAGTTGGGCAGAGGCAGCGCATCATGATGGTTTCGCTGTAAGTGATATTCACCATACGATCTGGATGTTTCAAGTTGAGTGGTACTTCGATAGTTGCTTTCCATCTGACATTGCACCACCGTCGGGGCTTAAACGTTGTAATTAGTGAGATACGGCATAATCGAAGGGATTGAATCGTCCAACATGACCGACCGGCTGTACGGATTGCGCACAAGTGGAACCGTATGAGACTTTGTACTGGCACCTCCTTCAGGCGTCTCAACTTCAACTCGAGCCCCCTTGGGGCCCTGCCTGGGATGCTCGCCGCGTGCGTCGACTACTTCTCTGTATACCTCGGGCACTGCACTGCACTGCACTGTACTGCGTGGCTGTTGCCGGGGTGTGCCGTATTCGCCACTGGTTAGTCCGGTCGCGCTGCAGCCGCCTGAGGACCTGAAGTTAGGTGCACGTGCGCATCCCGTGGCTTTGCCTAGACCGGTGCACGTTGCCACCGGAGCTCTTCTCGCCAGTTGCTACTTTTGCTTCTTATGCTTCATAGTAGAGCTGCTCTCGCTGGCATGAGGCTGATTGGTTTGTGGGTGCATGCATTGTTGCGCTGTTGCTAGCTGTGTGGTACCAAAACCTGGGAGAGCTTTTGCCATCCAGCCCATCCCTTGGCGACGATACCTTCGGCATTTTTGTGTCGTGCACTGCCGTGGATGCCGCTTTGTAAATGTAAATAGTCCATCGTAGGGTTGTAAAATCTGCCTAAACAGTCAGTATGCTTAACATACCTAGAAATCTAAGAAGCCCGTGAAAAAGGATTGAGATTGTGGGGATTTGCATACAGGCCTGACATTGGGAGCTGCCGTACGATATTTCAACGATGATCCCTATACAACCGAGCAGGAGCGCGCCACCCAATGCAACCCGACGGCATTCATGAATGACACCGGGAGGCCTGTCCTTACATACGCGAGTGCGGTTATGATCGATGTCAACTTTTCTGTACGAGCATCACTAAAACTGCACATGACGACAGCTCAGCTCAGCTAGTATGCAATATTTCTGTGGTCTCATCGTATTAGGATTGAGGCGTGCTAAACTCCTAACAATTACTAGCCCGAAAGTGTGCGGTATGCATGAGCCGTTCGGGCTCCGTTGTAACTACTACGATACCGTATGTCAGACTCCTTGTCTAAGCTGTGACCTTTTTTGCAGCCTTTGCCTTATTTTGTTCAAAATTCCAGTATATAAATGAAGGCGTTTACAAGCCTTTTTCGATGCTCGACCCCAATTTGAGGCTCCCCGCTATGGTGCAATTTGCACTCCACCTTTCCTTTCGAGGCCTACAGAAAACGCATTTGCGATGAGGAATTTTTGTCTTTTTCAACCAATCGTTTTCTTAATTTTATCCCAAACATGGAATGGAACCTTCGCGCAGCAGGATATGCATAATGGGCTTGGGGGCAGGACAACTACATTAGACGTGACCTTATTCCTCTTGACAAGCATCAGTGGCGTTATTTCATCTGCCTATATCCTTCTGGGTACGCCCCTAGCACCTTCCGTACTCATTTCTGCTTACCCTGGGTTGCTTGCTATCAGACCCTCTTCCACCGTACGGCATACCATACTGCTTTCTTGTCCCCATACGCACGCAGGCGCATCCGTGGGATGTCAATGGCCAAACCCAACTTGCTGGTGCTACACGCAACCTGGCAGCGACAGAATACGTGGGCGATGTTGTAGCCTGTACATCGCAAATTGGGCAATGGCCGCCGTGTGGCTGCTCATGGCAACCGTATCCGCGATCAGCCGCAATGCGTCCCGTCTTGCTGTGTGCCTGGCTTACACACTCTCGCACGTGCTGGTGATTAGCTTCCTGCGGTACAAGTTCAGCCAGTACGGGGCCCCCGGTTTCGACGGTCCTGAAAATGGCTCTATGGTGGTTCCCTTCAACCACTACAGCCAGGTATGCATGCAACTTGAAGTGTTCACAAGGTGATGTATGTGTGAGGAAAGGGCATGTGGGGAATTTGAATGTATTCCCGGGGTGCCCAAGCACCTCTTGATTACACATGGCTGGAGAGATGCAAGATAAGCGCCTCACACACACACACACACCTCCCAGCACGAACCTTAATGTCCGTTGGAATGCGCTACGCGGCATGCAGCTGTTTGGTTGTGGCGCCCAAGTGTGTCAGCGCTTGCTCAACTCCCCCCTCACACCCCCTCCTTCATTCCGCACCTCAGCGGCATCCCAACCGGATTCGGAGATCGCTATCCTCCGGGCGGCGGCGGCATCAGTCGCACCCCCCACCCCCGGCGCCCCAGCAGCGCCCTGTTCAGGACGGCGGCAGCGATGACGCCACCTGCGCCATCGGCATCCCCGCCTGCAGCCTACCCATGCTATACGCGGTCGTCGGCCGCTGCCCCGCTGACTGCACCTGTCCCTACTGCTGCCTGGGCGCCATGGCCGAGGCCTTGGACGTCGGGGCGGCTGCACAGCACCCGGAGAGCCCGCTACCACCGAACCTCACACGCACCACACGGGGCTGGCCCTGGCGCGGGCCGACGGCCTTGGGCCACATCGATGAGCTGTACCTTCCAGGTGCCCTACTGCCCGAGGTGAACGAGATGCCCCCGGATTCAATCATGTTGGGAGACAGTGTTCGATCCCCGGCTGGAGCACCCCCGAGCTGGAGTCGCCAGCGGCCGCAGCAGATATCCGCTAGCATGGGTGGCATTAGCAGCGCGAACATCGCCGCGGGCTACAGCCGGTCGCAGCTGCTGCCAATTTCCTCGTTGCCTCGGATGCATGCTGCTCAGCAGTCCACTCTGGCAGCTTCGGAGCCCAGACGCAGCAGTGGCAGCAGCGGTGGACGGCATCAGGCGAGCTGGTACAGCTCCACCACCGCTGGTGGTGTGGTGCTTGGTGCCCCTGTGGCGACGCCCATCAGTCTGCCGTTCTCCGAAGGTATACCTCTGGCAGATTTGCTGCGGTGGCGGCGGCAGCACGGCGGCGGCCTTCGTAATGACAATGTGGACGATAATGAGCCTGGGCCTGGGTCCGAAAGTGGGGCCGGGGCCGGGCCGCCCGCGCCTGGGAATTATAATGATAATAATGTTAATATTAGTAATATTAATACTATTAATGATAATAATGGTAATTGGTCTGGGACCCCTAATGGGATCGTGACGGGGGCTATTTCTGTTAGGAGCGGGAGCGGGGCCGGATGGCAGCAACATTGTGGACCTGGGCCTGAGCCTGGGGCGGGTCCCGGCTGCCCGGCGGAGCCAGGACAGGGCCCGGGGCCTGGCACCTCCACGGGGGCTGCCGGGATGGGGGCGGAGGAGGGGGAGGGGGTGGGGGTGGGAAGGCTCGCTAGCAGCTTCAGGTTCATTGAGCAGTCGGGTGGGGGGCAGCCGCGGTCTGCGAGCGGTGTGGAAGGCGCCCCGGGCGGAAGGTGCGGGGTGCGGCAGCCGGGGGTGGAGCTAGCAGGGCCGGAGGCATCAGTGTAGGTCGGGGCCCACAGGGGCGGCATGGGCCGTGGGATTGTGGCTGGGGGCGGAGTACTAAGGAGAAGATAGACCGGGGCGAACGGTGTTGCAAGCCACCATTAGGGGCCTTACAGGCGGGAGGTGCGGCTGTGGGAGGTGCGGTAGCGCAGCTTTGTCGGGGCTGCGAGATCGGCTGGTGGTGAAAGCGTTAGCGTTGGCGTTGGCGTTGGCGTTGGCGTTGGCGTTGGCGTTGGGGTTACTCCATCGCACCACGGGAGGGATTGGTCTTGAAAGGTGTGTGGAGGTGGTAGGGGGCGGAAGGCCATCGTAGCGTGCCGGTTGCAGCTGTCCGCGCGGTGTCTGCAGAGCCCTGCTTTTGCAACGTGCGTGGAGGGGTTCCGGTCGCTGCGGGTTTCGGCATGATGGGGGGTAACTGTCTTTGGTTTTGTTGAGGTTGAGGTTGAGGTTGAGCCTCGTCGGCGCTCCCTCGCCTGCTTAAGAGTTGGATTTGGTGGTGGGCGGGGTGATTTGCATGTGGTCCTGATCGCGGTTGGCGTGCTTCGTATGCGGCTTTGGTACAAGTACATGATGACCAGTGCGAAACAAAAACTCGCAAGATTTAAGAATAGTAATAAATGGGACAACAATGTCGCATGCATGAACACGGAGCAATTAAGCAACGCGCGCACACACATTTGATAATAATTATTATTATTACTGTTACGTAACGAAGCAACCATCACTTACCACCACGGACGTCTATCACCATCTATTACCACCTGGCTGCGTGGGGCGTTTTTCTCCGGGCGCATGTACTCGCTGGTCGCTGGAAAGCCCCCTCACGATGCTGGTGGAGCGCCCTAGCGCGTATTTTTAGACGATATGTGTGCCGGACTATGTACCAGCTACTATAACGCAAACTGTGGATTTTCAACGCTGCATATCATTCATTCCTGCTCGTACTGAACTGTCGTACAGTACGGTACACGCCATCTAATATACATTATATAATATACAGGGAACAGACTGTTAAGTCGTCGGCGGCGGCGTCAGACTGTGCGCATTCATGATCTGTACGTTGGCCATGCATTGGTCCGCATGTCTGTCTGTCTGTGTGGTCTTGCAGTTGGCGCAATGTGGAGATTCCCTTTATTTAATAATGTAGATTGATAATGAGTAAAGAGGCAGCTCTGGTAGCATCGATCCGTCTGTCCAGCCTTGCAGTCGGAGCTAGAGGGGGTTCACATGCTATTACCGCTGTGATTTAGAGGAGGCATTAACAAGACACGCATGGCATGAACAATCGTGGATGGCATGATGACG